AGGGCTGCGAGTTGCAGGCCTGCGACCTCGGTGCCGATGTCTGGAGTGAGGTGGATGATTTCCGTTGCGGCGGAGAGGAGGCGCGATTTGGAGGGATCGGCATGGTGTCCGCGGTCGGTGAAGGTGTGCGGGGTGAGATTGGGGAGCTTGAAGGGGGTGTAGTTCGGGTACTCTAGGCCTGCGGCGCGGACGGACTCCAGGGGGGAGACACCCCGGGGCGTGTGGTAGTCCAGGTGGGGGAGGTTGGCCGGTTTGGGGGGTAGCTGTACTTCGTTGGCAGTCATTTTGGTGATACTGTTGTCTGGCATGCTAAGAAGGATTCATCTACTTTATAGCAGCAGGTAACTCCGGCGGGATGCTGCTTGTCGGTGGTCTGCTCGCGTCATCCAAGCCAATTTGATGTTTTTTCCGGATTGCTACAGACTAAATTCGCTATCAACTTGAAACCACTAACTGTCGAACAAAAAATCCAACCGCTTATTCCCCTCATCCGTAGTCGTCTCGAGATACTCTGCCTTCTGAATATCACTCATCGCCTCCCAGAGTCGCTTCTTCCACCGATTCCTGGCAACATAGTAGCCTTTGGCCAAGACGTACGCCACGATCGTCGCAACATTGATTGCAATCAACTGTGAATTACCCCGCCGGTAGTACGGCTTATCGTCCTCGCGGTAGATATTTGACGAGGCGATCCCAGACAGCTGGATGGTGATGTTGTACAGCGCGGCGCTGACTGTGCGCGTGCGAACAGCGTTGCTCAGCCGCGAGCACCAGCCAACGTGTGCTGCATGCGGGGAGGGCCAGCCCAGGAGCACAAAGGTGACCGCGTAGAGGCCCCAGTGGGAGAGGGTCCTGGCGGAAGTGTACAGGACAATCAGAAGCGGGAGCGACCAGAGTTGCGTGAGGATGCCAATGGCTGCGATCTGCTGGAAGCGCTCGGTGAGCTCGGTGACGACCAGCAAATTGAGCGCCGCGAAGACGGTGACGGGAATTCCCAGCAGGGTCGTCTGGAAGGTCGAGAAACCGATGGCCCGCAGTGAGAGACTTAGGTAGGATTTCGGCGGGGAGGTGGGGATCTCGAACAGGATGCCGATAATGTAGATGGGCCAGAGGTCGTAGTCCTTGAGACTGCGCCAGAGCATCCCCATGCTCAGCGCCTGTCGGTTATGCATATCACCTTTGGAGGGGTCGTCGCGCAGGACCCGGTTGACGATGATCTTCTCCTCGCGTTCGGTGAAGTACCCTTTGGGGTTCCACCAGGTGGCTGTCTGGGTTGGGCCGGGGATAAGGAACAGGAAGCTGGAAACACCAATGACCAGACTGATCAGTGCCTCGATGAGGAAGAGCCACCGCCAGCCGGCTCGTCCCGCCACGCCGCGCATGTGCAGCACCCCGTACGCGATAAAGGAGGCGATCACACCGGAAATGGAATCGACAAACCAGAAAAAAGCGAGGCGCAGCGGCATCTCTGTCTTCTTGTAAAAGTAGGAGAGGTACAGGATCGCGTCGGGGATGAAGCCGCCCATGAAGAACCCGAGGAAGAACCGGCAAGCGAAAAACCCAGCCCTGTTGTGAATGAAGAACTGTCCCCCGGAGGCCAGACTCCAGAGGATGATCTGCACGGGGATCCAGCGATCAGGGCCAAGTCGCTTGCCGACCATCTGAGAGGGGATCTCCGAAATCAGAAAACCGATCCGGTACATATTCTGCGCGTTATTGAAGTCGTTGGTGTTGATGTGCAGGTCCGGCAGAAGATTATCGGCAGACGCATTGCCTAGATTTCCCCGGTCAAGGTTAAGGCCGAAGAACATCACCAGGATCCAGAGGAAGATATTGAGGTCCGTCTTGCGTCTAACGGCTATCTCTTCGCGATAGGTCCACCGGAAGTCAGGATCGAATCGGTGCAGGTTCTCATATTGTGGATGGGGGAGGTAGTATTTGGCCAGCACAGGGTCGTCGAAGACGCTCTTTGTTGTTGCTGTAGCATCCAGGTCGACTTTTTTCGTCCGCTTAAAGAAAGACAAGAAGGACCTGCTGTGCGACTGCTCTTGTGGCTCGACAAGGTGGATGGTGGTGCCATCCTTGGTCCCTTGTTTATCACTATCTGAGATTGGGCCAGCCATTTTGCATAGGCCAACATTTACAGCCGAACTTGCCTCTTATATCTACGTCAAGCTGATGCGTGCTATATGAAATTGATAGCTCTATGGAATCAACGCAATGTCAAGGTTGAAGGGCGCCCGGAATAACGGATGATGTTGTCATGTAAGTGTAAATGGCATCACCGGGGTAGTTTGTTATCATAAAGTCAATCTAATCAGCGGTCTTTTTCTGAGTCTAACACCCTCTCATTGATGGAAAAACAAATTCTTCATGGGATCATGTCAATGATAAGCTGCTCGCCATACCAGGCCCTGATGATGAGCTCCGGTGGAGACTGGCGGCCACTTTCAGGCAAGAACAGACACACAATTAAATTATAGAATCCTGAAGCTATCTGATAGTCTCTATAGTCCTGAGCCGAGGTCATGTTTCTTTAGCTAGCCTGCCATCCTCTGCTGCTGCCTGATTATGGCTGAGTGTTTCACTGTCCTAAATCTTACCTAATGATGTTTTCGTTTCATATAGCGTGTCTGGCTCCAAAGTATCAGAACTTCTCCCCGGCTGACAAATTCTCGAGCAGGAGTATTTCCATCGATCCAGGATTGAACGAATCATGGAGGCTCAGAAATTTATACCACGTGTGGTGAGAAAGCGTTGAGATGCATTGGAGAATACAATAACTACTGGCTGGCATTTCTCCTTGCGCCTGATTAGTGGATTTGGGAAAGTGGACAGCGGTGGTGCTGATATTGACCAACTGAACAATAGGATCCCACGCAAGAACAATAGGAACTCTGCCGTGCGAGTCAGTATCCTTGCGAATGTTGGCATCTAGAAGTAACAGTACCGGGATATCTGTCGGAATAGGCGCAATGTGATCAAACTTAATTAGGTAAATAGCATGCTGCGCATGTCTGAGGCAAGCTGACTGGCTGTAGGTGTGAGACTTTACCATTCCTCTCAAACATGTGGACTATTAGTCTCCAGTGACCATGGTGATAAAATAGTGGCTGGCCGCTGGTGATAATTAATATCATTTCTTACCAGGGATGTGATTTTATGCCCTTTAATATAATCAAGAAGCTTGCAGAGGAAGGAGTGCTAAGATCTGTTAAGACTAGAAGGATGGCTTTCTAACAAGGCCTAAAAACACTTAGTTATATCCATGACTATTAATAAGGATAAGTGATTTATCCTATCCCTATAATAGGATTGACCCTACTTACTAGATAGTATATAAAATTAATAACTTAGATAATATATTGTTATTCCTACACCATAATAAATGTAGCTAGGTGAAGCTTAGATTACTAAGAGTGAGGACCTAAGCTATCATGAAGAATATAATCTAAATATATATTAATATATATGCTAACTAAAGAAGTTCCATTCAGTTAGGCTACTAAAACCTGCTGAGATGGAGTAATTACTAACTAGGGGGTAGTACTGCAGCTTATAATAAGAAGGATTAGTATTAATAGAATTCCTTATGCTATTATAGCTCATCCCCTTAGGATACTATAGATTATCCTTAGATATATAGAAGAATCCATTGAATTTCTGACCAGGGGGATACCCAGGCTCTAATATTCTAATATATTATTATCTCGTAGCTCCAACCCTAGGGGACATTCAACTTTCAAGCTACTTAGTTAATATATATATCCTAGAGTAGAATTCTGTACCAGGCAGATAATAAGGCACCTTCTTAATAATATATTTATTGCTGATGAGGTTGGACCTAGGTGGATATTTAGGCTTATTCTTAGAGATATAGTAATGATCTAGGAAATAGATCCTAGTGGATATTTAGGATTATTATTTGTGACATATTCACTGCCATGCGGGATGAGGCCTTTAATATATTAAGGTGGTATGATTAAGATGCGTTAGTTTGCATCTTGTAATGTGCCTGGCAGGCAGGATGGGGGGTCTTAATAGATGTAGTCAGCGTCAACATATCAAGTCCCAGGGGATATTCTGGGTCCTCAGTGGAAACATAGTTCTTATCCTCAACCTGGAATCCTAGGGGACATTCCAGCTGAATGTCTGTAAGGCACTCGTCGCTCACTGGTGGGAATCCGTCTGGGCATCCCACTCAGATATCATATGATCGTACAAGTCTACCCACAGCCATCATAACTGTGCTGGTGCTTCCCAAAGCTTATCTTTCTATTACTTCTTCCCTGCAACTAATAGAACAACAATTATAGACTACTCTGGGCAATAAGTACAGTCTAGTATAATTTCAGCACTTATCCCACAGCTTAGGGAAAGAGTGAAATTAAATCTACTTGGATTTGTTTATGTGATGGCTAGTACTGTAGAATACCAGTTAGAGAGACACTGTAACTCTTAGATAATGACTTTGATGTTTGTGAGCTGTAGTTCTAGAAACAGCACGGTATATATACATAAATTTACTCTGTTTAAGTACTACAGTATATAATTCAGCTGCAGACTAGGTCTAAACTTCCTTTCTATTGGCAGCATCTCAATTCAATAGCAAAATAAGCAAAAAGTCAGCTGAGTTTTGATCACAGTAGCCGAATCTTTATATAGAAGAATACTGTGCTCTGTAATATAGTCGTGATCAAACAATTTGTGGAAGTGGTTACAACAACCCGCCGTAGATTATTTACTCTGTATCTGGTGATGACTTCAAACGATTACTGACAGCGGGCTAGGATTGAGGATGATGTGTTGATGACGGGGACTGGATGTGAGAATCTGACGGTGGCTCTTAAGAAGGCAGGAGATTCAGGATTTGATGAAGGTGTAACTGTCGACAGTTTAGTTGAATTGAATCTACTCCATATACCTTGCCTGTCCTGACCTAGTGAAATAACTTTGAACGAAGAGCATTGTCTACTTGATACCAACCATACCATAAGTCCTTAATGCGATGTTACGAATTCACCCTTGGCAGTCTGCTCCTCACAGTCGTCTTCGATCTCCGGTGTCTGCGCCTCCACCACACGCCAGCGCCCATTGTAGAATCCCTGAGTCTCCCGTGCTGAAGTACCATCCTGAACAAACGCGTGGAACTTCCTATCAGGGAGGACACGGTGCAGGAGCACATAGGCTACAGCACTCGCCATGAAGCCATACAGATAGTTCAGGTAGTACAGTTTGGTTGCGCCATCGGAGATGACAACAGACGTGTCAACGGCGGCCACGAAGCCGGGAAGACAAGGCACGAGGCCGACAATCCACTACAGCAGTTAGCCAGATGACGATGGTTTTGAAGAGCAAGACACTGCATACCGCTACCGGGGCGCGCCAGTTGACACCTGCTGAGTACCAGTAGATGCCTCTTCCGTCACCAACAAAGAGATCGTCGACGTTTATTTTCATGCGGGCGACGACCAGGTAATGCGCCGCCATCATACCCGTCATGGGAGCCAGGAAGACACCATAACCCGAGAGGACGGTCAGGAAAATGGTGGCGGTGTTGACCAGTCGCCAGGGATTGACGACTGGGCTGAAGAGGGCGACGATGTACGCGCCACGCCGGATGTTGATAAATCGCGGGAACACGGAAGCGAGATCCATGCCGCCGGACAGGGCATTACCGGGGAGGTTGCTGCCGATCTGGGAGACGGCAAGGGCGAGACCTGCGAAGAAGACGGCGGCGCGGGTGCCTGGGCTCTCGCCTTTCTCAAGCAGGCGCACAAAGAGCGTGGGCGGGTTCCAGACGGCCTCGCCATCCATGCGCTTCTGCGTGGCGGCTGTGACGAGGATACCGATGATGGAGGCGGCGATGCTGTAGAGAGGAAAAGCCAGCGCCTGGCCCCAAATGGCATCTCCTGGCCGCCGCGCCAGACGAGCGTAATCGTTCTGGTTGAGAATACCCGCCGCGATGGACCCGATGGTCGACATGACGCCGTACGTCATCAGCCAGGCGGTGCTGTACGTGCCGCCGGTGGCTGGCAGAGAGCTATCGCCGTTGAGGGTGCCGCCAAACCCATCTGGTCCCATGGTCGCCAGAGCCCAGATGAAGAGCACGAGGAAGAAGGCCAGAGTGACGACACTGGCAATGTAAAAGAACTTTTCGATGCGGTGGGGTTGGATCCACAGCACGGGCAGACTAGCGACGCAGAAGATCAAGTAGCACAGGAACTCGGCGCTGGTGGTACCTGTTCCTTCTGGAATGTGGTTGGGAATGTGGTGTGCATACTTGGGATCCCATGAAAGGAGGATGAGGTAGATACATTGGCCGCCAACCCATGATTGGAAGCCGTACCTGAGTCGTTAGCGATGTCGATATGACTGTAAAACAAGAGCTATATCTCACCAAACTAGTAAACCATTAGTAGGGGAATAGTATTCAAGATACTTTACACAAGAGATCACGTACCGAACGCAAGGAAAATGCGATTCCAGACAACGAACTGAAAGCCCCAAGTTCCCCAAACAGCTCGACTGAACACGGGAAAGCCAACTATTTATTGTTATCTCTGTCCGTAGCTCATCGATTGTTTAAGGGGAAGACGTACTGTGGTAGTATGCTCCGGCCAGAGAGCTAACTACAACGGCCAACGTCGCAAGAATGTTGCCAACCACGATAGCTTTATGGAATCAGACCGAGATGCAGTCAGAGGAACAGAAGTCGTTCAGGCTCACCGATGATGGCCTGCCACCAGGTCAATCCGAGCGGGATAAGGGCGCTGCCGGTCAGGTACGTGGCAATATTGCAGTTTATCAAGAGCCCTACACCAGTTAGGGCGCACATGTAACGTAACATGACAGATAAAGCTCGTACAGAAGTTGTGATAAGTCAGGAATGTCCAAGTCCGCCTCTCTGCTTCGACCGGACGAACATCATCGTTCTGTATGTTGAGTGAGAAGATAAATTAGCCGCGGTAATCCACGAGAGGATGCGTCTCTTCTCAAGGTATTTCTCACAATCAATCGCGATGAATGAGGCAGCTTAATCCGCTCGAACAAGGTTAAGAGTGCCATGTTGTCTGGACATTCGATTTCGACGACTCGACGCGATAGCAGCCGGCACAGGGGGTACTTTATGGTCGCCCTGGGTATCTCCGGTATCAAAGACAGTCATACTAGTCTTATCTGTTATTTTGCTTAACTCGACCGTCCTTGGTTGTCCTGAGCGGGCAAAATCGAAGTGGGCTTGGCACGGAACCTTTAACTGCGTCGCATGACTAACCAGTGCGGCGAATTAATCGGTCAACTATCGGCTAATTGGCGTTCTCCCTGTCAGCATGGGTGGCGCCGGTCGACCTCAAATCCAAAAGGGGAGCGCGCTTGACATCTTCCTCTGAACCCTAACAGCAGTCTCCAGAACATCCATGTCTCTTTATCGCATTGGCGTCGACGTGGGCGGCACAAATACGGATGCCGCCATACTCGACGTCTGTGCCTTCGATACGCCCAGCCGTGGTGTACTGGCGTCTCACAAGGCCTTGACAACCAAGGATATCACCAGCGGTATCGAGTCGGCCATGCGTGCCGTTCTTCAAGACTCTCAGGTTGACCAGAGCCGGGTGCTCAGCGTCACTATCGGCACGACACACTTCATCAACGCGCTTGTAGAGGCAGATGCACGTCGGCTAGACCGGGTCTCAGTAGTGCGACTGTGCGGTCCATTTACCCGTCGGATCCCCCCGTTTTCCGATTTTCCCGTCGGTCTGCGTAGCATTCTCGATGGCGGTGCCTACTATCTTAACGGTGGCCTGGAGATCGACGGCCAGGAGATTACGCCCTTGGATCCAGAGCAGATCAGACAGACCGCGAGAGACATAGTTGCTTCCGGCGTCAAGTCAATAGCATTAGTCGGCGTTTTCTCGCCGCTGGATCATGAGGGGTTGCATGAGGAACAGTGCAAGACTATCATCAGTGAAGAAGCGCCCGAGTTAGAAATCGTCTGCTCGCACGACATCGGGCCCACGGGGCTCTTGGAGCGTGAAAATGCCACAATCCTCAACGCCGCGATTTTGCGGACCGGTCATCGCGTCAAGAAGGGCTTCCAGCGTGCCATGGCGCGTACTGGTCTTTCATGCCCGCTCTATCTGTCGCAGAACGACGGCACGCTGACTGACGCGGATACGGCGGCAGCGTACCCCATCAAGACCTTTGCGAGCGGCCCAACCAACAGTATGACTGGTGCCGCGTTCCTGGCTGGTATCGATCACAAGAAGCCGATCGGACCCGACTCCAAACCTAGTTCGGAGGCCGCAGAGGCGGAACCACAGGTCATTGTTGTCGATATCGGTGGCACGACGACGGATGTGTGCGCCCTCCTCCCCTCGGGATTCCCGCGGCAGGCTCCAGGCTTCGTTGAGGTTGGAGGTGTGCGGACGGCCTTTTCGATGCCCGAGGTCGTGTCGATCGGGTTGGGTGGCGGAAGCAAGGTCCATGTCGACCCTGCTACCGATAAGGTCACAGTCGGACCCAGCTCTGTCGGCCACGCCATTCAGCAGGAGGCTAAGATCTTCGGCGGTAGCACTCTCACTGCGAGCGATATTGTGGTCGCGACAGGAAAGGCCTCCCTTGGAGTCGCTTCGCTGGTCCAGGACGTTCCGTCCTCCATTATTGAGAAGGCCCGCCAACGGATAAAGGAGATGCTTGAGGGTATCATTGAGCAGATGAAGGTATCGGCCGCTCCTGTGCACGTTATCCTTGTCGGAGGAGGCGCGCTTCTCGTGACGGAAGATCTCGACGGTGTAGACAAATGCATCCAGCCCATCCACCAGGGAGCTGCGAATGCAGTCGGCGCTGCCATCGCTAAGGTTTCGGGCGAAATCGACATGATCGAGATCCTTGACGGCAAAGATGAGCGAGCTGTTTTAGAGGCCGCGCAGCAAAAGGCCATTGACGTGGCAGTGGCCAAGGGCGCGGTGAGGGAGTCTGTGCAAGTCGTTGAGGTCCACAAAATGCCCCTACAGTACGTGCACAATGGCGCAATCCGCATTCAAATCCGAGCAGTTGGTCCCCTCTCGATACCTGACGAGCCGGTCTCCCTTCCTTTAGCCCTTTCGGTATCCACGGAGGAGCCAGATGCAGACGAAGGACTGAAAGTCAGTGCTTTCGACGCTCTTGAGTCGACTACGCGGCCTTCCCTACGGGTCGATCTCGAAAACTATCGTCCCGAGGTCAAGGATGGAGTCTGGTACGTCTCGGAGGTTGACCTAGAGATGATCTCCACGGGTTGCGGCGTCCTAGGTACCGGAGGCGGTGGACCAACGCACCACGAGTTCCTCAAGAGTCTGCATGCGTTGCGAACTGGTGGAGAGAGGAAAATGCGCATTGTTTCTCCCAAGTCGCTTAATGATAGCGATATCATTTGCTTTGGCTCGTGGTATGGCAGTCCAAGTGTGATCAATGAGCGTATTGCAGGAGGCACAGAGATCACCTCTGGTATCGACGCTGTCAACAAATTCCTCGGTATCAAGGCTTTCCATGGTCTTCTGCTCGATGAAGTGTAAGTTATAGAAGAACCCTTTTCGACTGTGTGTTGACAGGTTTAGTGGCGGCGGTAATGGTCTGAGTGTATTCCCCACTGGCGTACACTATGATGTCCCTGTCGTTGACGGTGATGCTATGGGTAGAGCGTATCCCACAATGTATCATGGTTTGTGACTGCTTTCATTGTGGGAAATGAAGTCCTTTCAGCTGATATCTTGCAGCTACGACTAGTGTTTATGGCCACTCACTGGTCCCATGTGTCCTGTCTGATGCCCGTGGAAACACAATACTTGTCGCAGTAAGTGGAGATACTAGAGGCCGTTTGAACTGGCAGCTGACCTTGGGATTAAAAGGACGCCGACTCCCCAGTAAGACTGGAGAAGCTTCTCCGCACCGCAGCCATTCAGCTCGGCCTTGCCTGTGCTGTATGCGCTAACCCCCTACCTGCCTCGGCCATCAAGTCCCATGCCGTGCCCAATACATTATCCCTTGCCTGGTATCTTGGTCGCGCAGTACACTTAGCACGCCGCTCAAAGGTCAACTATGTAGATGCGATTGTAAGTTCTCTGAGCACCCGCTACCTGATTTGTGCTTACGAGGCTCCAGTTCAATGTCTGCGCAGGCAAACTACTCTTCACCGGCAAGCTCGTGGATGTCCGCCGGTTCATCGGCGGTGGATACACCATGGGTAATGTTATCATCGCCCCTCTCAGGGAAGAGGAGCGTGAGGCTTCCGCCAGCTCGAGCGGGCGGAGTGTCTCCGACGGCCGTCATATGATTATCCCCTTCCAGAACGAGTATCTGTATGCTGCCCTGATTGATGCCGATGGCTCCGAGGAGTCACAGGAGGTCATTTGCACTGTCCCTGATCTGATTTCGATCTTGGGTCAGGATGGTGAGGCGATCGGCTCGCAAGACCTGAGGTATGGATTGAGAGTCAACGTGATTTCATTGCCGTCGCATCCTCTGTGGAAGACAGAGAAGGGGTTGGCAGTTGGTGGACCGGCAGGCTTTGGTCTAAAGATGCCTAACGTGAATGTAGATGATGATTTCACTGAAGCGCCAAGTGTGATTGATGAATTTGATGTTTAAAGCAAAGGGATGTGGGGGATGAGTGGAAATAACTAACCTCTACCAATGGAATCCCACTAGCTTTCTAACTTATCCTCTCATATAACACAATTCAGCATAATCTTTCCCATAAACCCGAGAACTACCGAGAGTTCTCTCTTCTCGCTGCCTCCCTGGATCGGCTGATGACCGTGGTGGTTATTGTAGTGGAACTCACACCAAATCAGAAAGGATCAGATTTCCAAAGTTCCAGATATCCAACTCAGGACTTGAGAACTCGCTCAGATTCTGGCCAAATACAACTCTAGATAAAGGAAACTCTATGTATGTAAAGCAAGCAACTATCCGTGCGCACTTTGCTAGCTAGAACTATAACCATGGAGTAACAAGAGATGTTATCCTGCTTACAATAAATAAGGAATAGAGAGGAGCAATCATCTGTTAAATAGTCCATGGCATGGCTCCACTCAGAGACTTTGTTCTAAATTGGCAGACAAGCGCCGACCAGAGGGTCTGAACTAAAAGTACTGTTCAGAGCCCCCATGAGCTGTTTAAGAATAATGGATGTGTTAGTAGTAAGATTATATATGAAGCTCCCTTTTCAGTACAGTAGGGGATATTGGGGAAGGTCAATTGCATCCAAGCCAAGACGCTTAGAAGTGGTCTAGCTGGAATCAAGAGCTGTATCTACCATAAATCAGAAAAAAGGTGTGGATTATTTTGAACATCAGAGCTGAATTGGATTGAAATTGTACTATGATAAAGTGAAACTACCATCAACCCTGTTTGACATTCTCAACGTATCCCACAGGGGGTGGGAACTGTACTTAACAGGCTACTAGCCCTTAATATACCTATCTTTTCTTTCTATCTTTTCCTATACCTTTATTCTATCATACTATTAGACCCCTAACTATACTACTATACTAATATCTACTCTATCTTATCTATCATAAGTTAACAAGTTTAGTGAGGGTTGGGTTTGATTTTTGCATTTTGAACCGTTTGATTATGCCACTCTAGTTAGGGAGATCTAACCCAAAACCAGCCTAAGGCAGGTTTGGGTTGGGTTAGATTCAGGTTTCTGAATTCTGAGTTGGGTTTAACCAGTCTAAGAGGGTGAGAAATTAATAGGATTATGAGAACTTGGTTTTGCCCTTAAAGGGTAAGAACTTGATTAGAATGTGGCTCGCTGCCCCTGGGCCACCTGACTTCGGGAAAAAAGCATGGCCCTAAGTTCTAACCTCCTTCCCGCCGGCCCCCTGCTTCTGTTTGATTGCACTCTTTGACACCCGGAGTAAAGGCCACAAGTACATTGAAACCACATATGTATGACCGTGAGACTAAAAACATTGACTGCGGACCAGTTCTAGCCTGGTCAAGTCATATCTAGTGCACATATACTTGGTAGTTTACTGTAATGCTTTTATAGCAGAACTAAATTCGAGGCTGACCACAGTATCCCTGAAAGGTACAAAACCTCACATTTAACCATACAGATGTATCATCACTAACAGCTCCCGGGGTTTGAAGCATGAGGATCGGCCTATATCACCATTGTCAGGTTTCGTCTCTATTGAAGAGTCATGGGAATTGCTACTGAGCCCGCCGGGGGGTGGGGGTAAATATCGCTCAAACAACTCAAATTAAGATCAACATATTGCTTCGCAAAACACAGCAGAAGAGCGAAGCTGAAAATCCCAGCAAACCCGCAGAGAAATAGTCTCTATAACTGGAGAGAAACTGATGGGAGATCTGTCACAATGTCTCGAAGACGGCAACCGCAGAGGCTGCGGTTGACGAAGCACTGGCGGGGTTCTGGCCAGTTACTAAACGGCCATCAATGATGTGAAAGTCATCCCAAATCCCAACCGCGCGCACATCTAAGTACGAGTAAGCTGCCAACGTTCGAGAAACCCAGATCATCTCAAGTCAAAATGGGACTCACAAGTAGCACCAAGCCTCTTGGCGGCCTCCTCAACCATCTCGCAATTCCAAGCGCGAAGTTCAGCCAAAATTCCCATATTGTCCTCAGCCTCGGTAGTAAAACCGGTAATTTTTCTGCCTTTGATAATGGGCTCGCCAGTTGCCCTGTCCAAGACATTGGCAAAGATGGCAGGGCCGTGGCACACTGAGGCAACAACACCACCGTTTGCCCAGACTTCCTCGGCGATTTTCTGCAATGAGGACGCAGTAGGGTAGTCGATCAGAGCAGCATGACCAGCAGAAGCGTAGAAAAGACCATACTGAGACTTATCCAAGTCAGCCGCTTTATGTAGACTGTCCAGCTTTCGACGAAAGGCACTATTGGCATCATTCCAAGCCTTGAGATCATCACCCTTGAGGAAATCTGGCTGCAGTGAAAGCCAGTCAGGAGTGTATTTTCCAGTCTCCGAGGCAAAATCAACTTCAAAACCCGCGGCAGTGAGCACATTGAACGGGTGAAGTGCTTCGGTGATGAAGAGCCCAGTGGTCTCTTTTCCTTGGAAGAGGGTGGCCTGGGCCGAAGTAACGCTGATAAGGGCCTTGCGAGCGGGAGACATGTTGAAATGGAGAAAGGCGGCCTAGTAGAAGGTCCCTGGAATCGAGAGAAAAAGCGATGTGATGTGATGTGTATCTGCAGAAGTGCACATGGCATGGCAATTTATACGTCTCAGCTACAGAAGTTGTCAGCACACAACTGGGGCCACTCCGTAACTCCGCCACTCCGTGACTCTGCGACTCCGTAACTCCACGACTCCGTAACTCCACGACTTCATTGTTATGTAACGCTTTGGTTCTAGCGTCGCTGCAGGTGGGAGTAGGTAAGCCCCTTTTGAATGGAAAATACAAAGCCTTCGTCAGATCTTGTCTAGCGCATAAGAGTGATCTAACTGCATTTGCACTAGGTATTCCTCCTTTAGGACTTCCCTACCTCCAAACTTGGCTTGCAAATTGTGACAAGTGATTATTTGTGCAATTCCATACCTTCAACAAACATTGGACAACCCAACAGAGTTGGTTAACTTCCAGATAGTATTAAGTAGTAATCACCTTAGCTTATGTATGCATTGGTACACAAAGAATGAAGGAACAATTAGATGCGTCAGCCAGCAACTGCGGATGACAGCCAAGGCTTGAAAGTGGGGCGTTTTGAGCGGTACAAAGGAAAAGCACGCCATTTTTGACTATGAAGATTGATTGTTTTCTTGTCGCCCATTAGGCGTCAAAGAACAAATGAAATGCAGTTACAGTAAAGTTAGGCCAGGAGCCCTGACTTGAACCAACAGGTGAAGTAGCCAGCTGCAAGAAATAAAAATTAACGCAGCAGTTGTTTCCGTCTTGACTCCAGAGAGCGCTGACGAAAGAATTTTGCACCTAGATTAGCCGTGCCGTTGACAGCAATTATGTTTGAACTATACTAGTCTACTCGTATGATAACATGTCAAGACTGGGCCATAGTGAGTCAACGCTATTCCAGAAGTCAAGATCGACAGCCATATCAAGCAGGTTGAATAACGGTGCACCAGAAAGGTTCTGAGATGAAAGTGCATGGCCAACAGACACCGATGATGAGGAAAAGTCTTCAGGGACAATTGCAGCATTGCAATTAGGCTGACTGGGTTTTGCAAAGGCCGCTATGTTGGCGTATAAATCACGGACGATCCGGGCTGTATTTGCTGCGACAAGGAATTTGACACCAAAGTTGTCGAAAACCAAGATAGCTAGTTCGATTGCATCGTTGGCATGTTTGGTTATTGCTGAATGTGGAAACAATGTCACGAATCCAACCATGGTCATGACCGCATTCCACTGGCAATAGAAGGCCTCATGCCAGCCGTCAAGAAGCGAAGACTCTGTTAGCGCCTGGTGTGTGATCATTGTCAGCATTATTGCATGAGAAGCACATCTCATGGCGAGTTCCTCTGCAATTGACTCAGCAGGTGGTTTCATGCTGAAGGCGAGAAACGGTCGAAAAAGATTCAGGCTGAGGTGATGATATGTCTGTTCGAGGAGCAAGCGCTGCCGCTGCAGCCAAGGTGGGGTGAAAGGCTCAAGTAATACAGAGGTGAACTCGGTGGACATGGAATGACCGTTATTTTGACGCTTCAATTTCAGAGGTTCTGGGATACTGGCAATCCATTCGTGAAGGCTCTGGGTATGTGCTTTCAAAACCGTCGCACTGAAGTTTTGGGCTTCATATGTAGCCCATAACGTCCCGCCTTCTCGAAGATGAATGTCCTGGTCATAAAAAGCGGTGTAGGCATTCCGTACCTTCATATAAAGCTGGACTGAGAGTAGATTGTAGCTCAGCCAGGTAGAGTTTTGTCCGAGAGGGGCAAGAATGGACCCAGAGCCAGCAGCGGCTTCTTGTGTATCTCCGGGGAGGTGTGGCATGGAGTAGGAGGTAGACAACATGAATGGACGGCCAAGCTTCATTCCAGCTTTACTGTCCATGAGGTAAACCGCCCACCACAGGCGCCTGCGCATCTCGCGATCCTTTTCGGGCATTGTCGGCGGTGGGTCTATATGAAGACCAAGCATATAAGCAGTGCGTACAGCAAGCCCCACGGTACTGTCCATCATGTTATGGAACGACCCGCCGCATATGTAGACTGCACAGAGCAGATGGCATTGTAGTGTTGACAAAGAGGGGCTGTCAAGCTCGCAAGCAAGCAATTTTTGCCCCCGCCAGTAGTGCCACCGACCAGCAACTAGCGCATCTTTGCCTTCAACGAGAACCCCTTGAGTCTCTGTAGGTATCGTACAGGTTGCATATTGCATGCACATAGCAATCATAATGTCGACTAGGGCTGAGGGCTTCCGGTCTTCGCTGCCGCCCACCAGAAGGGACTGATAATGCGTCTTGAATTGTGTCTCGTCCACGATTGCAAAAAGCGAGGTATGGTAGGTCTGCCAGAACAAGTTGATAAAATAGTCTTCTTGTATGAGACTGAGATAAACACCTGCGGAGGGAACATCCTGGGCCAGGGGCGCCCAAGAACGCCTTGTGTGTCCAAGTAAGCTCGCTTCTGGCATATTCAGTAGCTTGTGATCGCTGGCTGACACAGGGTGCAGTTCATGGATAGGGTGCTCTTTTTGCAATTTGAAATCAAGGAACGCGGCAAGACGATGGATGAACGAGTAAAGCGATGAGGGCCCGAACCACGTGTCGTTAGAGGATCGCGTCGGCCGAAAGTGGACACCATCGTAGTGCTTCTTCGGAATACTCTCGGAATCTTTGCCCATAGATACAGGGGCGTGGTTCAGTAATGGTGTCATCGAGCCTGCAGGAATTGGTATGTTGTGGCGGTCAGTTGCCCGCTGCTTCAGCTCTGTTTCTAGTTGCTGAACTTTCTGCTTCAGGCGGGCAATCTCCTCGGAGGCTTCGGTGAGAGTAGAAATTTTTGGCGTACCCACAGCACTGCAGTGATATCCACGTGCTATGCACTTTGAACATGGTGCGCCACTGTCGCATTTTGTGCGGCGTAGTCGACAAGCATCACATGCTCTAGCTACCTGAACCCGTCTTCGGAGATGTTGCAATCTTCCTTGATGTTTGGGACCGGATGGGGAGTTCTCTGAACGATCAATCATAACGGTGGCTTCAATGATGGAAATCGAAGGAGAAGAACAGGCCCGCTACCGAGCGCCTGATATCAAAGGATGCGCGATCTCACGCTTTCCAATCGGACCCTGCCTATCACCTATCACACAACACATGTGGGGGCACCTTCATCTCCCCACCCCGCTTTTTGAGATGTTAGGATGGAACTCGGGCCGCGTAATCCCTAATTTGGTTGTTCCATGCAAACTGGACAAACACCTGGAAGCAGGACTGGCTTACCCACCCCACAATCCACACCCACCCCACCCAATCTACGCTTTGGGTTGGATAAGGGTTGGCCCTAATCCAACCCACATGGATATGGGTTGAACCTGCCTTATCCACATGGATATGGGTTAAACCAATGGCCCACGGGTATAGCCTCTTAGAAACTGATAGGCTTATCTAACTAGATCTTGGCCTAGATAGGGAGATATTTTTATATACATAGATAGGGAATAGTTATATCTATCTATATATAAGATAAATATCAGATCTACTAAGAAAGGCTAGAGTTATAGTAGTTTTAGATTTTAGAGCATACTAATTAGGATAGTGAGGATAAGATATATATCTCCGGAGTCCGCACCCCCTTTCAACCTAAGCTTAAGGGCACCCCTACTCCCTATATAAGTCTATTTTAGCTAATCTAATAGGTAATATATAGTATTTATATAACCTGCTATTATATTACATATAAAATATATAGATATCTTAGTAGTGAGACTAGAATATTAGAAAAAGAGGTGGAAATCTGAATACTAGAGGTCACCTGACTAGATAGTATAGATATTAATATTATCCACAGTTGAAACCCTGTGGATATAAGGGGTGGGTGAGATACTCAATGGTTTACCCATAATCTCTGTGGATTGGATTAGACATGCTGTGGATCAACCCATATCCACCCCACAGCCAGTCTAGACTGAGCTAGAACAGCGACCATATCTGGGCTTGAGACAATTAATCCCTTATCTAGGGCTTCTGGTTGATATCCCCTTCAACTTTCTGAAGTGCTTAGTGGAATGCGCTTCGCCAACAGTAAGAACTTACCACCACTGGGAAAGTGATAGGATGTCTAACCGCCGTTGCAGGAAATAAACCATTATCTGGATATACCTATGATGTTTGGTCGGGTTGATTCGCGAATGAACCTGCGCATGTTGATGCCATTTCTGGGCTATTCTACTTCTTCAAGAATCATCAGTATTGCAAATTCCTGCTTAAGTACCCGGAGCTCCACAAGCATCTTGCAAACTTCATTGCTCAATTCAAGGACAATCACTATTTTGCTACCTTCCACGGTCGAACCAACTCAAGGGATATTATAGAGCGTATTAACGGTCTGCCCTTGGTTCTCATATTTACAGAGATGGAGGACACCCAGTCTCCTACGGCCGATCTTTGGGACTACGATTAGGGCCTCTATTAGGTTTTAGGGGGTCACTTGACTCACTTCCATCCGTACTATATATTAAAGCTTACTATGTTAGGTATAGCTGAAGAGCATATGAGAAATTATCTTAGTACCTATACTCTGTTATATAGGTAGAGCTGTAGAGGGGTTTATTAGCCTAGTTAATAGGTCTACTCCATATATAAGTAGCCTATCAAGTGCACAACTTGCACTACTTATGGTTCCAATTCACAAGATGTAGTAGTGATTATCTTTTGGCCTGCCTTATAGTCTAACAAAAATCTACTTAGATCTAGTAGCATTCTCCTAGTAATCACAATCTCCATAGATGTAGCCAGTATTCCACTTCCCTCATCTTAGTACACAATGCATTACGACCCATTGGAAGTGAATGCTTTAGGTCACAATCTGCTAGCTATAAGTAAAGACTCTGAATTCTGCACTATTTATTATATTTATAGCTACTCAGCAGGCTTCATATTTACAACAGAAGGATGTGATTTCAGAGTGACATTCACTGTTGGTACCACTACATGCAGCTACAGTCATTTTAGTCGCATTCCATAGCTAATATTATGAGCTCCAGTAGAATATGTGGCAATCTCAAATTCTTTGGTTGTATACATTTGCAGCCTTACTCTGCGCTCAGATAGTGGGCTTCTGAACGTCAAGAGGCGACACCCCACGGCATTTGAACACTATTCCTCCACGATGTCCACTTTGTCCTTGTCTGTCCATTATTGGTAGGATGCACAGCGGTTAGAGTTCGAGAATCTTACAGAATGCAATGTAGTCTTTGATGTTCTTTGCTGCGTCGTACGGCTCCTTGTAGTACCAGGCAGCATTTTCAATGGTTTTACCTGCACAAGATTAGAGGGTTGCAAGGGAAACCTGAAATCCGGGATAATAGCCTACCATCTACAGCCACGTTCCAGTACGAAGCATAGCCCTTCCATGAGCAAAAAGTGGACAAATCCGAGTGCTGGAGGAGGCTCTGATCTTTGATCGCCAACGGTGGGAACTGTGCATCGTGAGCGTGGACCGAAGCAAAATCCTACAACAGTAAATAATAATCAAGGGCGATATACATAGATGTTTCCTTCGACTGTTTCCCAGGTCTCTGTCTCAGCTATAACATGGTCGCCGACCTTGGCGAGGGCCCGAGGCATGTTTCTAGTCTGATTGGAATAAGCTGCGTAATAAAATAATGCATGTACTTCTAGTGCATTAATCATAAAGAGGGAGAATCCGATGTATATAAATATATATATAGGCCGATATGTCTTCAACTCTTGCGCTCTACGGAGAGTTATTTCAGTTCAGTTAGATCCATGCATATCTGACCTAGCGGGGAAAGAGAGATTAGCAATCGGCATGACCGCGCACACCACTTGCGGGCTTGATGATACCAGCTGGTGTTAATGGTCTGTGTTTCTGTTCCCTAACCCCCCGATAAAGCCGCATGTTCCGATGCTATTCTGAATAGGGCAGGCTGCGGACTATTTCAGATGCCTCTGCTTCCTAAACCTCCGACGGAGGAGCGGCGAGCCCACGCTTTCCCGGATGAAAGTGGCGTCAGAACCAAGGCACCGACGTGTAAGGTCTTAGTTATGGAAGCAACTGGAGATGGAAAGGGGAATTAGGAGAAGCAAAATGTATGGATAAGATTTTCCCCTGAGATGTGTTACCGCACTCATAGCTCAGCTTGTAGAGACTTGACGCCATTTTCACAGAGCACTTCTTCCGTAGGACTGCCACCAGAAGGCACCTTTTTGATGACGTGCTAAAAGTACGACTCAGAGATGCTACTGTCAGTTTGGGTTTGGGTCGCGGGGTATTTAAGTGATGGTCGCCTATCGGAAAGGGGAATGGTGGTTACCACATACCATCAAGCCTCTTGCACATTGTCCCGCAGTATTTGCCGAAGACAACAAGCATCTTCAGATCAATTGCAAGAGAAGCCATGCTGCAGATTATCAGCACCCAGCAAGTAAGCGTGGCGAAGCGGGTCAATGGTCATAATGATGAGGGAGAGAGCTCTGGTTTCTACGACGACGTTTTTGATACGTCCGTGATTGATCCGGCCCTGACCCGGAAGATGGCTATTGTCAATGGAACCATTGACAAGATTGGAATGACCCCCTTTCAATGGAAGCTGTTTTTCCTCAATGGGTTTGGATACGCCGTGGACTCGGTGAGTAGTTGTGACAATATTCCAGATTCCAGAGACACCGAACCACGTTTGGTATTAACGCGACCTGCGTGGCCCAGCTCCTGATCGTCTGCCAGTCCATCGCGCAGCCTGCGATAGTAAAGGAATATGGAAATCCCAACAAACACGTCGCTGGAATCTCTCTTGGGTCCCAGATCGGATTGCTGGTTGGCGCAGCCTTTTGGGGGTTATCGGCCGACATTATTGGACGTCGATTTGCCTTCAACGCCTCTCTGTTTCTCGCTGCCATTTTCGTGGCGATCGCAGGAGGCATGCCAGGATACATCCCCTTTGCAGCATTGTGAGTGCAACTGTATTGTCGGCAACTTGTCTCCATCAGGCTCTGACCGGCTGTCCTTGCTAGAGTTGCCCTATACTCCACAGCTGTGGGGGGGAATTACATTCTCGACTCTACTAGCCTGCTTGAATTTCTCCCCAGTGGGCATTCCTGGCTAGTTACATTCATGTCCATCTGGTGGGCTGTGGGCTACACCATCGCAGGGCTCCTATCCTGGGCATTCATGAGCAATTACAGTTGCCCGGCGAACACAACACCCGCTACATGCTCCCAAAGTGAGAATATGGGCTGGCGATATCTGCACTTTACCTGTGGGGGGCTCGTTCTGATCTTGAGCATCCTCCGTCTTTTTATAGTTCGGATGGTGCAAACTCCCAAGTGGCTGATCGCCCAGAACCGTGATGAGGAGGTGGTCCGGCTCCTGGCTGCTCTCGCCGAGAAGTATAATCGGCCATTTGACCTCACGCTGGAGGATCTGCGTAAGGAGGGTCATGTCGTCCATACAGAAAAATCGGTCTGGTCCTCTCTTCGCATCTCACAGCATTTTCTGGGACTTTTCCGCACCCGTCAGCTAGCTTGGTCGTATACGGTAATCATCCTCAATTGGCTCGTCATTGGAATGGTCAGCCCTCTCTACCACGTGTTTCTGCCTTACTATCTTCAATCTCAGGGTCGGAAGGTTGGCGGCGACTCCACCTATATTACGTGGAGAAACTATGCTATCAATCAAGTTTCGGGGCTGGCGGGACCCATCTTTGCTGCCATTTTGGTGGAAAGCAAATTTCTGGGACGTAGGGGCACTATGGCGCTGGGCGCCCTACTGACTATGGTGCTGCAGTTTGGATACACACAGATCCGAACTCCTGCGCAGAACGTGGGCGTCTCCGCTGCAATCTCAGCGGCCTCGTACGTTTCCTCCCTGAACGCTTCCAAGGTACCTTGTGCTGACAGGCTCCGGGTGTAGAAACATGTACTACGGCACGATCTATGCCTACACGCCCGAAATCCTCCCTTCCGCTCATCGAGCCACAGGGTATGCCCTCTGCGTCGTCTTGAACCGAGTGGGAGGCATCATGGGCGTGCTCGTTGGCAGCTATGCTAACGTTGAAACGACCGCCCCACTCTTCGTCTGTGCTGCACTGTATGCGTTGCTGATTCTCTTGAGTCTCCTCCTTCCATTTGAGAGTCGCGGAAAGAGGATCCAATAGGGAACGAATCAAGCCCCAGGTCTGTTCTGAGGAAAGGACACGCTGCGCATCGCGCAAGATACGGGCCAAATGGGGAACGACGTGCCGCATAATGTAAAAAGGCATTGTTTTTTGGAGTTCGTATTGACTGATAACAGCTACCAAATTCAGCCAGCATAACCGGAGCTCGGAGGAATACGTCCTTATCGGAATTTCAATATATCCACGCGATAGGTCTAGACTCTCGAGATGGTAATCTCCCGGCAAGACTTCTCCGGTCACTAGGCGAAGCCAGGAGGCAGATCGCCATATCACTAGGGCGTCTGAAAATGAAAAGTGCCCGGTGGTCGGCGGGTTATCAAGCACTGATTGGGAGCTCCCAATTTTACCTTCGTCTTTCTTAGTCCTTTCTCAAAGTCAATATAAAGTTTCTGGTGGGGCTCCACGTCCCAATGATGTGGTATACATAAGCATCCTGTGAGATAAAGCTATGATGCTATAAGGTGGGAGATCACCACCTTCCCCAATTCCGTCGTTGCTTGGACTTCGCGTATGGCTGTGTGTCTTGCCTTTATCTCTCGTGGCAAGACGCATTAAGAGCCTCTCTTAACTCTCTAAGTATCACAGACGTGGGAGTCAGACGGCTGATCCAAAAACGCACGATAAGCCTCTCGTACCTCTTCACCTATTCGTTTGGTCAGTGAAAACAAGCGAACAACTATGCAACTGGCCAATACATGGTAAGACTGGTGCGCGACCCCTGTGTTCATGCGTCTGTAACAATGTGCAATACGAGGGCGTCGGGCCCCCGTATTGGACAATTTCAGATTCTGCAATTTATACTCGTATTGACTAGTTATGGTCCGGGAATGGCGTGACCGTGGCTGCCATTATTAGATTTCTTACTGTATCCCTGCGCAATTATCGCTGCCCGGGGTTGTCACAATGGCGCTTGGTGAAAGTCTTTGAGGAGACTTCACCTTCTTGTTATCTTAATTGAAGACGACAGCAATCTGCCCCTATAAAGGAGTGGCTGCAATGCTCCGTACATTATCACCTTGAATAAGTCTGGAACCTCGGCCCTCGTATCAAGGGCCCTTGCTCCCGCAATTAAGCATCGGGGATCGCCCTACGGGACAACAGCTTCCAAACTCTGTTGGAGGTTCTTCAGTCCCTTCAGCATCTTCGCACCAATGTGAACTGGGAGTGGCTTGCTTAGGCGATCACGACAGTTTCCGCACCGTATTGCAGAGTCAAGCTCAGGGTCTAAGAAGTGTGCATAAAAGCACGGGCAACTGGAGCTAGAAGAAGTTTCTGTTGAGGACGCTCCACATTCTCTTTCTCGAATAAATGCCTAGGATGGGTACACAAAAACGGGCTCTGCGGGCCTCGTGCGATAAGTGCCACCAAGCAAAAGTGAAATGCGTTCCCACCGCCGTAGGGTGTCAGCGCTGCCTGGACTTAAATAGTCCGTGTGTCCACAGTCCCCCGGGACGATCGGGTCGAGCCCCCGCAGCAAGCAGGGAGTCGGGGGTACGTGCTGCACGCATCCTCACCCCTCCGCAAAGCAACCCTTCACGCGCCCCCAGCGAACCCAACGCGTCCACAACGAGTGCCAATACCTGTGGCTCCGGCGATGACGATCGGCATTCCCGGGTTCCGTCGTCAGTGGCGGACTTTTCTAACGACTCTGTGCTGATCATCGATGATGATGCTCGCCAGATGGAGCCCATTGATGCGATGCTGTCGGACTGGTTTTCCATGCCAGGAGCCGCCTCCAGTCCACTGTACAGCAGTGATCAGACCGCTGCACTGTCCGAATTCACAGCACGTCTTCCATCAGCGTTTGCGATGACCAGTCCGAATCCCACGGCTATTTCTGATTTTGCCGCGGGCGAGCCTTTGACACATTCTGCAGTGACAGCGCACTCCCTGGTCCCCTCCCATCCCAAAGACCTCGTCAGTACCGAGGGACAAGGTTCGATGTGTGCTTGTTTCCAGACCATCGTTCGCGCACTTGAAAAGATCCAACAGGCCAACATGCAGCTGTTCAGTCTGGATGTTGCCCTGAGCCAGAATAAGGAAGCACTGATCCGTATCTGCAATGCCCTGGAATGCGTCTCCCCTCATGACAGTACCACTCGCCTTTTGATATTGGTTCTTCTTCGCAAGGCTCTCCTTCTATACCACCTACTTTATCAATCGAGGCTGCGCGATCGAAGAGACATGAACCGGAAAGGCGCCAGTCCCATTACCTCTCCGCCCCCCTGGTCGTCCTTTGACACGAACATTACTTCAGCGAACCAGCAGCATAACCCCCTCTTTCCCTCCGAACACAATGACGTTCCGACTGGCCCAGGAGCGACGACGGCCAAGCTTACCTTGGGCTCATATCAGTTGGATCATGCGGATGAGAGCTCTCTAGCGAAGCAGATTCTGCTCCTGGATGTAAATAAAGTCCCGCGGCTACTCGAGAGACTGGACCGGCGAGCCTGCGGACTCGACGAGGCGGATGGACTGGACTTGTACAACATGATGCGAAGTGCACTGATAGCCGAGTTCCGAGCTATTATGACACAGGTGGAAAGATAGGGTCGAAGATCAATACCGGCTGGCGTTTGCTTGTGATACAGGCTTTGAGCAATAGCTCGCAATTCGTACCATTCAGTAAAGCTCCCGTAGATATCCAAAGACACACGCATGCGCTACGAGTTCTTTGGTTTGCTTTTCCTCTTTTCATTTCTAAAGCTCGTTATTCTCTCCTGGGTTTGGTAAATTGGTTGACTCTTCTACTTGGGAATTAATACGATGAATAGTGGAGTATCTATTGATGATCTCGGTGATGAGGATGACCCTATACATCCCCCCTAGATGCCTTCTCATCGCCATGACAAAACCGACTGAATAATGTTAGGGTCTTCCTGCCATTTTAAAGCGGCCGTTTTATTCTAGACCTTTTCAAGTTTTGCACCTTTCTTAATCACCCTGGTAGCACTCATGAGACCACCACACACCAAAAGGGCGATTCCGGTAAACACAAGTGTACCAGTATAATCAAGACTCCCCTCAATTCCCGTTCTATCATGACTGCTCTGGCGGGACAGGATGGCACCCGCAATGGGAGATCCGATCAACACTCCCAATGAACCGATGGTCAACGCCATACCCACTCGAACGCCGATTTGGTTCAGACTTGGACTTAAGGCGACCAGAACCGCTGGCGGCAATGCCATTAAACCACCAGAGAAAAATGAATACATGATGGATGTAGCGATCAGATTGCCGAGGTGATGGACCGAAATCCAGCAGAGAACGACGATGCCAGAGATATATGCACAGGGAACAATGACATTCAGGTTGCCGAGCCTAGTTTTACGCTCCGGTTAGTTGCTACTCCCGCGATGTGCGAAACACTTATGGAACTTACTGGTCTGCCAGGGCATTAGGGAGGAGCCGGCCAACCATTCCTGCAGCGTTCATGATACTCAGAATGTAGAACGACAACTCCGAGTCCACGCCAATGTCGGCGGCGTAGCTTTCGGCGTAAAAGAATGGAATAAAAAAGGCCATAAAGCCCAAGGCTAATCCCACGACGAAAGTGGTATATGCAGGGTCCCGAAAAGCCGCAAATTCAACCACTGGGCCGGACTTTCGTGGAGGGAGTCGAGGTCTTAGGAGGGAGATTCCAAGTAGCAGAGTAGCTAACATAATGAAGGCCATAGTGCGCACAGCCCAGGGGAAGCCCACGGTGACAATCAGTCGACGAATGACTACTGGGAAGATAATTCCACCTAGCACACCACTTGTTAGCGACGCAGGCACCTGTGGGGTTGATGGAATATACAAGCTTACCCACGCTGCTACCGCTGGCTGCGATCCCTGTTGCCAGTCCTCGTCGAGTCGAAAAGTAGGTGCCAACCACAGAGATACCTGGAGTGAAAAGGCATCCAGATCCCAAGCCTAGACACAATCCCTGGGCTAGAAAAATCTGATAATACTTGGTTGCAAGCGAAGTCATCATCATCCCAAAGACGGAAAGGAAGATTCCCAGCCCTGCGACGGGATAGAAGTGACCTGCATCGAACGCCCGTCCACAGAAGACTCCCACAAAAAGCAGCAAAAATCCTTGAATCGAGCCAATCCAGGAGATCGATGACGGGCTGGAAGTCGGGAGAAGCGTGCTTGCATAGTACGTTTGGAAGATGCCGAAGGAATTTGCCATTCCCCTGGTGCAGTGCGCATTGGTTAGCTGGCATATTTTGAAAAAACAAACAAATGCACCAGGAACCTTACCAAGTGTTTAGAACAAACAGAAATCCTCCAAGCACCTGCAGCCAGGCTTCAAGTCCCCCGTTTGGAGGGGGAGGCGGCGCTTGAGGACCTGAGGGAACAGGCGCTGAACCAGGAGTCTCTTTCTCCATGTCTACATCGGAGGAAATGTTGCTACTGTGCACTGTTTTGTTGGCCTTGGGTAATGACAACTCCTGCTCTTCCGTTGTGGAGGAACTCATCTTTGTGACTGAGCGGACAACAAAATTACTCTGAATCTGTTCTCACAAGAGCCACTAGTATGTTCTTTGAGAGATGTCCAAAAGCCTGCTATATTTAAAGAACAGCTCCTCAACGTAGATCAAGATTTCGGCTGGTCTACGGCGCCTGCGCTCCAATGTCTCGGGTCCAGGGGACTTGAGGATCTGCATGCTAGAATCCACTCTCGACGGAAGATCAACTCCATATACGGTCTTCACTGGACAATTGTGCCTATTACCCATTATGACCAACTCTAACTCGCAATACACCCAACGGGATTATTCTTATCGAATGGCGAATATGATGCAAGTGTTGAATTGCGTGTTGCTCTGATTTCTTAACCCACCGAGACGCTGATGCAAGAGCAGGGTTTATACGAAGCCACAGAAACCGTCCAATTCCCCCAGCGGGTTAGCTCCTACGGCGGCCAGGTCATTATCGGCTCCAAAATATTAATGAGTCCAATCGGCGAGATTTAAGACATACATGGGCCAGGACCCTTGAGCCAGCGCTACTGCTCGGACATAACATCGCTGTCCGCAGGTTATTAGAGCGTCTGCGCAGATCAAGCGCAAGAAACAAGAAACACTTGTGTGAAGAGCCCAGATTATTGCTCTCTCATTTATCTGTTCACCTCTGTCACTCACTTGATCGGGGCCATGAAAGTGATTGTCGTTGGAGGTGGCATCGGCGGGTTGGCGGCCGCGATTGGCCTCCGCCGTGCTGGTCATGAAGTCAAGGTGAGAAGCAGACGGATGCGAACTGCCTCTGCAAAGAAACAAAAATCAATGACCATCGACGAGAGTCCTAGATTTTTGAACGCTCGTCCTTTCTCCGAGAGGTCGGTGCGGCTATTCACGTCTGTCCCAATGCCTCGCGGATCCTCCTCCAGTGGGGATTCGACGCCGAACTAGCTCGCATGGTGACGGTGCGCCGCTCGGTGGTAGCGTCAGGTAGCTCGCTCAAGCCACTAGTCGAAGTCGATTGCTCGAAGTTTATCCAGACTTACGTTGCACCCTGGTTCCTGGCGCACCGTGTTGATCTCCACTCGGAGCTACGACGATTGGCAACAATCGAGGGGGCCCCAGGATCGCCCGTGGACATCTGCTTGCGGTCCGAAGTGGTAGCCTACGATGCCGAAAGGGGATCTGTTGCCCTTGCTGACGGGTCGATTCACCATGCGGACCTGATTGTCGCCGCGGACGGCGTTCATACCAGCGCTATCCATGAGATAATTGGCCATGCAACACCGGCGGTCCCGACAGGATCAGCAGCATTCAGGTTCCTGATCCCAACAGGGCTGCTGAGTGAGGATCCCCAGACAGCGCCGCTTCTGGAGGATGGCCTGATGAGAATCTTTGTCGCGGATGATCACCGTCGTCTGGTTTGGTACCCATGTGCAAAGTGAGGCCAATCCCTCTGCTTCTCGTAGTGTCGTATCACGCACTCATCATGAGTTCTTTCTGTAGTAATACCGTTCAGAATTTTGTCGGCATCCATCCAGATCATCCGAAGGATGGTTCTGAGAAAGAAGGTCAGCTTTTACTCTTGCGAGTTTGAGGTTCGAGAGTACTCACGTTGCTGAGATAGACTGGGAGCGCGGAGCGGACATCGGTGATCTTCTCTCTGAGTATCACGACTTTCATCCCAGCATTATAGCCATTCTCAAGTCGGTTCACATGGACTTCAATTGTCGTTATCTGGCTAAGCTATAAAAAGGAAAGCAACAAGCATCAATCGCTGGCCACTGCTGTACCGAGATCCCATTCCAACCTGGACCCGAGGCCGCCTAGTGCTGATTGGCGATGCAGCACATCCTATGCTTCCCCGTATGATCTCCAGGTCCGTGTTCTAACTCTAGTTTCCGTCCTGACGCTCAGTCTCCAGATCAAGGCCAGGGAGGGGCGCAAGCTATTGAGGATGGCGGTGCTTTATGTGAAGTCTTCACGAATCTCTCCGACACTCCCAGTGATGAGGAGATCCGCTGCCGGCTCGCAATATTCGAGAAAATCCGACTCAACCGCGCATCAGCAATGCAGGTCTTCTCGAATGCAGGACAAGACGAATCCTGGAAGATTCGCGAACGTGCAAAGGAGTACATGCCGGAGGGAGTTGAGGTGCCCAGCTCGCCCCCGGAGTTCATGGCGCATAACTTCAGATATGATGTTCTGGAGGACTCCCGGCGCCAGCTGCAGTCGTTTTTCAAAAAAACACAAGCAGTCCAAGTTTGAAGTCAAGACGCGAGACAACTGCAAGTTGTGACGAGACAGTTCTATTTTTACGAACCTGATATCTAACTAGTTAGTTATTCAGAGTAGTAAACGAGTTAACAGCATCCTCAACTCAGTGACTATTATGAACCCGCTCTCTAATTTATCTAAAATTTTATTGAATACCTTTTATTGGACACCCCTACTTTGAAACATGGTATGCGAATATACCGCTTGGAGCATGCGACAAACGGCTTGAGCGAACATAATCCCCAAGACCAGGGTAACAACCATCTGTCGTGATAAATCACTTTAGTTTGATTTGAATGGGCTTGCGCACAAGCCACAGGCTCTCGCTCAAATGCATCGGCACTAAATAAAGCAAAGAAGAGAAATACACCAAACCAACTCGGTCCTTCTCCCTATTAATTGGATAATAAAGCGTATAAACTACCCTACAAGCACAGCCTCAACCACCGTACTAGCCGCTGCGTCCGGTCCGTTCCGCCAGACTTTTTTGATCTTCAGACGAGGGTCAGCTCGAGCCAGGAGACCTGCAAAGTCCTCTTCGGTGCGCTCCCGCGCATTGTGCAAGACCATCATTTGTATGTCGAGATACCTGTGGACAGTTAGCTTCTTGCCCGTCGGAATGAAAAACGTGACAAGCATACCGGACTAGCTTCTCATGTAACCCATGGAGTTGCTCTGGCGGCGGGATAACTGAGTCCGAGATGATCACACGCGAATCTGGCTTCATCCCGGGCACAAGATTCTGGAGGATCTTCACTGCATAATGATCGGGCCAGTCGTGGAGAATGTGCCGCAGATAAAAGACATCAACGCCGCTGCGTTTCTGAGGCTGGAACATGTCGTGGACCTCAAACTGCACCCGACCCTTCAAGGTAGACGGTAGAGATTCGGTCCCTGACAAAATTGCAGCCTCGAGATCCTGGACAACGAACGAGAGCTGCGGGTATCTCTCGGCCAAAGCCAGTGAAATGTGCCCATTACCGCCTCCGACCTGTCCCCAGTCAGTGTCTCCCAACGTAATCCCGTATTGGTAAACTCACATCAATGACCGTCGCGGCACCAAGGGAGTCCCAGGGGAATCCCTCAACAACCTGTTGTGCTGACCGGCCACCACTCTTGCTCAGACCGGCCATGCCACGATTAAAACGTTCGAAGCGTTCTGGATGCTTTGATAGGAAAGTGAACAACGGGTCGACCGTGTTAAACGCTATGTTAAACCCCGTTTCATTTGGCTCTTCTGACAAAGGGTATTTACGCAGAGCGTCAACTAGTCTTGAGGCGGCCGGAAAGGCTTCATGGGTGCAGTGGCCCAGGAACGCAGTCAACTCTGGGTTGATCACCATTCGTTGAGACACAACGGTATGAGCGACGTACCCCGGACGAGGTTCATAAAATATTCGGCGGAGAAAGAGAAGGCGCAGCACGCGCTCCAATTGACCCAGTGGGCAACCGCTGCTAATGGACAGCTCTTTGAAGGAGACGGAGGATTCGATGGGCACCTTGCGTGCGAGGTCGAATTCAATTACGACGGCCAAGGCGGTGATGTCGTGGTACTAGATACGTTCCATTTTATGTCAGCTACGATGTCTTGATCACCGTTAAAACAGACGTACGCCGTATGATAAGCTCTTTAGATAATTTTCTGGTCCAGACACGAGAATCTGGAGGTCCGTTGATGCTTGAATAAGGGAAGCTGCGGCATCAAGGGCCTCCTTTTGGTCCAGTTCGCTTTTACCGTCATTCGCTTTTGCCACTCCGTTACCATTGACAGGCCCATTGCTGGAGCTCTCAGCTACAAATGACGGAGCAGGAGCGGATACTGCCAGGTTATGGCGGGTGATCGTGAGCGCGGCGTTGGAGATGGTGGCCGCAAGGTCAAGCAAGACGGTGGGGTCTGACATGATGATTCGAAAGCGAGCAGAACGAATGCTTCATAGTCCCTTATCCCAAGCGGATGCCCGAAACCGAGGTATAATATATGAGTGCGGCATGTTGATCGTATCTCCGTCGGCGTTGGGCTGATCGTAAGGCGTCAAAACCTCCGAGAAGGTTTGATCCAACTCGGCGATGCCAAATAGCCAATAGTTTGCTTAGGCTCATACTAGATATGTAGTCCATGAATTTTGCATATAATTTACCTTGAATTATGAGATGTAGAGAAGCTTCATGCGAGAGTAAACAAAAAGGCATCAACAATTAGAGACGCCGTCAGCAGATCACCTAACGGCTCTGTCAAGCGAATTCGGAGCTGTCCGATTTGGAAAACAGAGATGGCTGTCCTTAACGAGCTGATTCTGCTTGGTCCTGGAAGTTTCCAGTGGGCTCTCCTCCTCGGAACTCTAGGCTTTGTCACTCTCTATTACACACTTGCCTTGAGCCCTAAACGCGCCAGATTGCCTGTCTATAGCACCCATTCGGGCTGGTTTGGAAGCTGGTATGACGCTCTGGACTATCTCCGAGACAGCCCTGGTGTTCTGAAAGCCGGGTACGAAGAGGTGAGAGATTCAATGCGCTGCTCCTCACACCTAGTCTGCCGAGCTGATCCAGAATCTAGTTCTCAAAACATGGCCGCTTCTACCAACTTCGGACTCCTGTCCGGTGGGTGATTGTCATCCCCCCAAAGTTCGTGGACGAGATACGAACAGCACCACCAACACATCTGAGCGCTAAGGAAGCAGCTAACGACGTGAGTTTAAGACTGGCCATTCAGAGAGTCAGATTGTTGCTAATAGTTCCATAATAGGTGCAACAGGCAGGATACACGGTTTCTCCCATCGTCGAAGCAAACAAGTTCCATTTCCGTATTATCAAGACCGACCTAACTCCAAGCCTAGAGCTTAAGATCAACGATCTACTGGATGAGATTAGTCTGGTATTCCAGCAGGAAATAGGAACTCCAGCCGGTAATCTTCCGACCGTCTCTTGCATTACACACCACTGATATGTTACTTTGCAGACTGGAAACCAGTTGTTATGGCTCGTACTGCTCATCGAATCGCGACACGTACGGCGAACAGACTTCTTGTGGGTGTACCACTGTGTCGCAATGAGGACTATCTTCAAATGTCCATCAGGTACACAATAGATGTGTTCGGCGGTGCAGATAAGCTGCGTGCCTGGCCAGACTTCCTCAAGTCGACGGTAACATACTTCGTCACCAATGTCAGGGAACGGCAGAAGGTAGCTCGCAAGCATCTCATACCGTATATCAAGGCTCGGCTGGAGGAGGTCGAGAAGCTACAACAAACATCCCCCAAAAGCAAACCGGTAGATTCGCTTCAGTGGGTCATTGATGCCGCGCCAAGTTACCAAGAACGTGACCCGGAGCGGCTGATGTATCGCTTGCTTCATCTGAACGTTGCGGCGGTACATACGACCAGCGTCACCTTTCTGAACTGCGTTTATGATCTCGCATTGCATACGGACATCCATTCGGAGCTGCGAGCAGAGATTGAAAGCGCCGTGCAAACGGATGGATGGACCGCTCGATCATTGAGCGCGATGCGCAAATTGGACAGCTTTATGCTAGAAAGTCAAAGATTGGCTCCTATCGCAAGTTGTACGTGTCCATCACACTGTGCCTAAAAGGGTAATTACTGAAGTCATAGCCTGCAGCCCAAATGACCCGAGCCGTCATCAAGGACTTCACATTCTCAGACGGCACCACTGTACCGAAAGGCTCATACGTCCTAGTCCCGATGCATGCCATGTATCTTGATGATACAATATATCCTGAAGCCTCGAAATTTGACGCTTTCCGATGGTCTCGTCTTCGAGAGCAGCCGGGGAACGAGAATCGATACCAGTTCGTGACCACGTCCCCGACACATATCAACTTCGGGCATGGGAAGGATGCCTGTCCCGGGCGTTTTTTTGCGGCCCAAGAAATCAAACTGCTCCTTGCTCACACTCTCTTGCACTATGAGGTCCGATTGGAAGATCCTACAGGGCTTCCCAAACCGACCTGGTATGACCGATCCCGTCAACCCAACCAGACGGCACGGGTGCTGTTTCGCGCGCGTTAGCAGGTGTATTTCACTCTACTGCTCTCAAGCCGTCAGTATAAACGAATATTTATATGAAGGTATCCGGTCAATGAATATATTCTTTAAGAGCAGCGATGATGTGGCAAGGGAAGTCTCTAATGTAATTCATAAACACTCGCGCAGATACTCAAATTAGTACTGGTATGGTTGCGAGTATAATATGAGTCATCCACCGAGCTTCAGACCACCAGATGGGGGTTAGAGTCGCGTCTCCTGCGAAGCTAACAATACTCTCTCAGTGCTGTTTACATTAACCCCATTATTCAGCTAGAGACTAACACCCAATCCTAAAGTAACACAAGGGCTGTAGCTTTACAACAGCAACAGCAGCTGAATCGTAGGAGCGGCTATAATAAGTACCCCCTATGAAGCTGGGAAGCACAGGGTCCAAGCCCTCAGAGCATAGCAGTTTTCTAGTGTCAAATGAGTCACGGAAGCGGCAGATCCAAGGCGGGTGTGCCATTCTGTTGGGTATTATCCTCATGTTTTTGGCGCGAGTATTCACACATTCGCGCTGTCCTCGGATAGTTAGTCCAAGGTGAGCAGCGAAGCCCGTCTGGGATTGCTCAGCAGGACTCAGAAGTTTTCTTCCGCTGCAGGCGAACGGAAGTACATTAGGTTACGCGTGCAGAAACCCCCGGACACGAAGTAGATGATCTCCGAGCCATGTGGCTTTTGCAGCCATGTGTCTAACGCATGATCCTCCGAACCAATGACGGTGTTGTATCTCATTGCCCCTTAATCCTCCGGCGAATTGGGCGCATATGCGAGATTCACAGTGAGAGTCAGATTGCACTCTAGGTCGTTCCAAACCGCCGTGCGCCATCGGTGTCCCTCCGCGTATCGTGGACTGCCATGGAATTGAGAGTAAAGTTCCGAAGACGGTGATGGTTGAGACCAGCCAAGACAGTTTCTGCAAGAACGTGCAATATGCAGTATTGCAAATTGATATCAGCTGCCTTTGTATTAAGCCAGGCTTCCCCGCTGGCCGGTTATATCAAATACGCAGCCTCGAAAATATTACATGCTTCAACGCATGTTCCATTGAAGCTTTACACATTCGACACAATGCATCGCCCGCTCCAAGTTGAATGCCTGAATCTAGTTGTCTTGGGGGATCAGACGAACAATGTGTCCGCGTTGCTCAAGGAACTATTGCTTAGCGCGCCCTGTAGTGTCGCCCAGAGTGAGTTTATTCGCGACGCAAGCGAGGCGTTGCGAGCGCAGTCAGAACGACTTCGACCCTTCCAACGAGAACACCTCCCTGGCTTCCAAAGCATCCATGATTTAGCCAGGATCTACGAGAAGAGCAAGGGAGTATGCCATCCGTCAATCAGCAGTGCATTGGTATGCGTTACTCAGCTGCTGCAAATTTTTCGGTAGGAGTTCACCAATCCGTCAGTGCCCATTTGCTGTAACACGCCCTGATAACACATTCCGCACTATGCCAGATACTTTGAGGGGCGAGGTGGTCGCTCAGAGAATAACGAGCACATCGCAGTAGTCGGGTTGTGTACCGGATCGCTTGTTGCAGCGGCCTACGCTACATCAGCCTCACTGGATGACCTGAGGCTCTTAGCAGTGCCGACGGTCTCGATGGCGTTCCAAATGGGGCTGCAAGCAGCGACGGCAAGCAGCATGCTACATGAGCAGGGGAACCCTTTAGGCAGCTGGTCCATCGCCATCCCTAAAATGACCGAAGACGAGGCACTGTCAGCTCTGAAAAGATACGACGCTGGAGGGCATCTATCACTCCGCCACCGCTGTTTTGTGAGCGCGGTTGGGCTCAAGAGTGTAACCATCAGCGGTTCGCCCCCGGCTTTAGGTCGCTTCGCAGAGAGCTTAACGGCGTCACAGCCGTCCAGGAAGATCGTCTGGCTGCCGATTTTCGCGGGATACCACGCCTCCCATATACATACGGTACTGGACTTTCCTAGCTTCTTGTCGCGATGCGGCATCGACGCCGATCTTTTATGCAGCTTCAAGTCAATCAAGACACTTCTCTCCCCACTGACGGGTGAGCCGGTGGACTCCAATAGCGCTTTGGATCTGTTCAAAACAGTCGTCCATCACACGCTGCAGGCACCCCTACGGCTAGATTTAATTGTCGACCGTTGCGCATCTCTGATCCGGGAAAACACAATAGCATCCGTCAGAATTGATGCTGTCGGTCCAACTCCTGTGGCGGACAGTCTGGCAGCAGCGCTGCGTACTCGCACATCGGCGAGTGTTTCCACGCGGGAGTTAGTTGTATTAGAACCTGGCGTCGACCAGTATAAACCGTCTGCCGCCTTCGGTCAGGCTCCCTTGGCCATTGTGGGCATGTCAGGCCGGTTTCCAGGTGCCGAGAGCGCTGAAGCTCTCTGGAGCGTGCTGGAATCGGGTCTGGATCTACACCGAGTGGTAAGCGAGTGTAGCCATTTGTTTACAAAGTGGAATGGACTTCTAACAAATGCGATAGATTCCAAAGGATCGGTTTGACGTCGAAAAACATGTCGACCCTACCGGAAAAGCGAAGAACACCAGCTGGACTCCATACGGCTGCTTCATCGATCGACCGGGAGATTTCGATCCGAGATTCTTCAACATGTCGCCACGCGAAGCTCTTCAGACGGATCCGATGCAGCGTTTGGCCCTTGTTACTGCTTACGAGGCCCTGGAAATGTCTGGGTTTGTCCCTGACCGTACCCGTTCTACGGCTCTCAGCCGCGTTGGGACGTTTTACGGCCAAACAAGCGACGATTACAGAGATGTGAATGCAGCCCAAGACATTGGAACATATTTCATCACGGGTGGAATACGTGCTTTTGGCCCGGTTAGTATCTTACCCCTCCTCTCGAGTTCGAAATACGGATGTGGGTTGACATCGCTGCACAGGGCCGAATCAATTATTTCTTTAAATTCGGTGGCCCGAGCTATAGCATCGACACGGCCTGCTCATCGAGCCTTGCTGCCATCCAGCTCGCTTGCACAGCGTTGCGGAATGGTGAATGCGATACTGTTGTCGCAGGGGGCCTCAGTGTGCTCACCTCGCCCGACTTGTTTTCTGGACTAAGCCGTGGCCAGTTCCTCTCTAAGACAGGTTCATGCAAGACATTCGACGACGGAGCCGATGGGTACTGCCGCGGCGACGGCGTCGGCAGCATAGTGATAAAGAGGCTGACTGACGCAGAATTAGATCGGGATAACGTCCTGGCAGTCATCTTGGGGGCGGGGACAAATCACTCAGCGAATGCGATCAGCATCACGCACCCTCATGCGGAAACGCAGTCCAATTTATACCGCCAGGTCCTCGGGCAGTCAGGCGTTGATCCATTAGACGTCGGATATGTCGAAATGCACGGAACAGGCACGCAAGCTGGAGATGGTACAGAGATGCGCTCAGTTATGGAGGTTTTTGGATCCGAGCGCCCAAGTCGAGCTGAGGACAATCCTCTGTATGTCGGGGCAGTCAAGGTACGAGAAGTCCAACCTAGCTTCTAGCGCCCGAGTCCTGGTGACTGACCGATCTAGGCAAATATTGGACATGGTGAAGCTGTACGTCTTCCTCACCCATAGCGGCCATGGTATACAGTGGATTGATGAGATATACAGTCGTCCGGTGTGGCATCCTTGATCAAAGCCATTCTGATCTTCAAAAACTCTGCTATCCCTCCTCATATTGGTGTCAAGAACGCGATCAACCGCGGATTCCCTGATCTAAGCGCGCGAAAGTAAATGGTGTCGATACCCCCGAGTTGGAGCTGCAGCTGACCTAACTTAGTGTTCGAATTCCGTTGAAGATGACGCCATTCCAGAGTAAACCGGGGAAGAAGAGAAACATTCTTGTAAACAATTTTAGCGCAGCTGTTGGTTTTCCATCTGTCCAGACCATTGCGCTAATTATCGAGAGCTAACGAATTACCCAAGGGCGGCAACACGGCCCTCTTGATCCAAGAGGCGCCCACTCCAGTTGTCCAGCAGGGCATCGAACCTCGGCCACTCCATCCGGTCACGGTCTCAGGGCACACGAAAGCAGCGCTGTCGAATAATCTAGACAAACTCATTGCATATCTGTCTGCAAACCCGAACACGTCGCCCGTGGACCTATCCTACACGACTACTGCCCGTCGCAGGCATCACAGTTTCCGGGTTAGTGTCGCGGAGAGCTCCACCGAAAAATTGCGAATTGCTTTAGAGCAGAAGAAACACTCGGTCATATCCAGCCTCAGCACATCACCGGTTCCAAGGCCGGTTGTTTTCGTTTTCACTGGGCAAGGTGCCGCATACCCGGCCCTGGCTCGTGAGTTATACACGATGTCGTCTCAGTTCAGGGCAGATATCGACCATTTCGATGGCATTGCTCGCCAGCAAGGATTCCCTTCCTTTCTACCCATTGTTGATTGCACCGCGGTTGAACTAAACTTGCTTTCTCCCATACAGACACAAATCGGTCTGGTGTGCATCCAAGTAGCCTTGGCTCGTCTGTGGAATTCTCTGGGTATCAAACCAGACGCAGTAGTGGGCCATAGCTTGGGAGAATATGCCGCCCTTCAAGTTAGCGGAGTGCTATCCATAAGTGATGCTATCTACCTAGTGGGATACAGAGCTCGCCTGCTGGAGAGCAGGTGTAAGATGCATTCCCATGCCATGCTTGCAGTGGGAGACTCGACTTCCGTTCTGCAAGCCGTTCCGGCCGAAGTTACCGCACGAGTGGAAATCGCCTGTGTCAATAGCCCTCGTGAAACTGTCTTCTCGGGCGAAAAGGCCGCCATCGATGAGTTAGAGGCACACTTGACTGCGAAGAATATCCGGTCAACCAAGCTGCAAGTGCCCTACGCCTTTCATTCCGCACAAGTTGATCCAATTTTGCATGACCTTGAAGAGGTTGCAAAAGTTGTAAATATGGGAACACCACACTGTCCCTTCATTAGCTCTCTAAAAGGCCGGGTTTTGGGTCCTGGGGAAAAAATCGATCCTCAGTACCTGCGACAGCACTGTCGCCAAGCGGTCCAATTTTCAAGTGCGATGAGCAATGCCAGAGCAGTTGAGCTCGTTCAAGAGACAACCATTTTCATTGAGATTGGTCCTCATCCAATCTGCTCGGGAATGGTAAGATCCACTCTAGGAGATTCAACGCAGACACTCCCTACATTGAGACGTAAGGAGAATCCATGGAAAGTTATCGTTGGAAGCCTCACTTCACTCCATGATATGGGGTTCAGCATTAACTGGTCCGAGTACCATCGGGATATCGAAGGGGCTTGTCGCCTGCTGACCCTCCCGGCTTATTCCTTCGAAAACAAGAACTACTGGATTGAATACCGAAATGATTGGACGCTGCGCAAAGGCGACCCGTGGCTGTCTGTCAGAAACGGCGACGAAGACAAGCCAGTGCTGAAGTTGTCAAGCTCTGTTCATCGCGTTGTAGAAGAGAACTACAAAGGAGCAAACGCGATCGCCGTGTTTGAAACGGATCTGTCAAGCCCAGAAATCCACGCCGCCATCAGTGGCCATCGCGTTAATGGCTCGGCTCTTTGCCCTTCTGTAAGTAGATTGCGAAGGACATGTATCTGTTTAACTTACACAAGCCTTGCTAATTCCTCGCTCGCAGTCCATGTACGCTGATGTGGCTTTGACCGTTGCTCGGCACATACAACAGAAGCCGGAATCTGGATTCTCCTCGTCCGGGCACAATATCACTGCGATGGAAGTTCAACAGCCGCTGATCGTCAAATCCTCAAGAGAAGAAGAAACAAGGGTATTGCGCGTATATGCGCGTGTCGATCGACATTCACAAACCATCAAAGTTGAGTACTTCTCAGCCACTCCTGGCCAAAAAGCGGAAACAAAAACGAAACACGCTACCTGCTGCATCGAATCTGGCTCGCCTGAGAAGTGGCTGCGGCGTTGGTCACACGATCTGTATCTGATCCAAGCCCGCATTGCCGCATTACAGAAGCTCACGGACTCTGGAGAGGTCAGCAAGATCACGAGTCGCTTGGCTTATCGACTTTTTGCGAGTTTGGTGGACTATGCGCCACATTACCAGCGGATGGACCAGGTCCTGCTTGCGAGCAGTTTGTTCGAGGCCACAGCAACAGTAAAGCTAGATGATCGTGGCGACGATGCGACTTTCGTCTATAGCCCCTATTGGATTGACGCTTTGCTGCATCTCTCCGGCTTCGTCATGAATGGAAATGACACTCTTAACTACAATGAAGCGGTCTATATCTCGCATGGGTGGGAGAGTCTGCGATTTGCCAAGCCTTTGAATCCGAAAGGCCATTACCAGGCATATGTGAGGATGCTTCCCAGGAATAAAACGATGGTTGGAGGAAATGTGTGGATTCTATGCGATGGAGAAGTCGTTGGTCTGGCAGAAGATCTCCGTTTCCAGCGAGTTCCCCGCACAGTCCTAGATAAGCTTCTACCTCCAGTTGGCGTCAAATGGACACCAGAGAGGCAATTGCCCAAAGCTTCTCCCCAGAAGCCTCTACCAAAGAGATCAGTCCCCTCGTCAGAGACTCAGTTGGCCACCAGATCCTCGCGACCAGGTACTTGCCTCGATATCATATCTGCCGAGCTCGGACTAGAAACGTCAGACATTTCTCCGCATGATCGACTATCTGATTTGGGGATTGATTCGTTGATGTCGCTGACCTTGGCCAGCAACCTTGCCGAACAATTTGGCATTACGATTTCCCACAGCGAATTGATGGACTGCCCTACAATTAGTGAGCTCCTGGCCATGCTGGACCAGAAGCAGGGTGGAACCACCAGTCCCCTGACCAACTCTTCCGTGGAGAAGGGCCAAGACAGTGGCAGCTCTTATCAGGCTTCAGATTCTTCGCAGTCGTCCGCGATGGTGGAGACTTTCACTCCTGATAGTATCATTTCAGATACTGCAGAGCTAGTCAGGTCCATCATTGCGGATGAAACCGGCATCCCCGCGGAGGATCTTGAATCCTCTGCAGATCTAAGCGCACTTGGGGTCGATTCCTTGATGAGCCTTGCAGTCCTTGCAAGACTCGGAGAGGTAGGGGTTGAGCTGCCAACGAACTTCTTTCTAGAGAACAATACAATGAATGAAGTGGTCAGAGCTCTACCCAGGGTATCGGGGTTTGCAACCCCGCAGTTGCAGGGCATTGAGAAAGTCGAAAAAGGAGACCAGAAACTGCACGCCACTAATTACAGCCAGACGGATGTCAGCTTCCGGGCCAGGGTTGTCCTCCTTCAGAAGCGCTCCAATCCCACGAGTACTGGCAACTTCTTTCTCTTTCCAGACGGCTCGGGGTCCCCATTCTCGTATGCGGCATTGGAGCCCATCAGCCCAGATTTTGACGTGTACGGACTCGTTTGCCCCTTTATCGACTCCCCCGATGACTATACTGGCAGCATTGAAGCAACAGTGAAAATCTATCTCTCGGCCATCAGAGACCAACAACCTCATGGGCCATACCATTTCGGAGGGTGGTCTGTCGGTGGCGTCTTGGCATATGAAGCATCAAGGCAGTTGATCGAGACCAGGCAGAAGGTTCAGTCACTGATCCTGATTGATGCCCCTTGCCCGGCCGTCCTTCCTCCGATGAGTTCATCTCTGATCGATTACTTGGCCTCAAAAGGAGTCTTCGGCCAATCCCATGGTACCTCTGCGCCCAAAGCTGGAGAGAAGCGGCAAAGTATCCTGAAGCACTTCGATGTTACGGTTGCCAGCCTGGCATTGTACAAGCCGAGGCCAATTATTTCACTCACAGACGCGCCAGAAACTTTAATCATTTGGGCCCGGGAGGGTGTCAATGGTGATCACAACGTTTCGCAGTCGTCAAATCCAACGGAATCCTGGATATTGGATAATAGAAGTGATTTCGGCCCTCTCGGTTGGGAGACTGTACTACCAGTGCAGCGCATTTCCACGATTCCTGTTTCTGGAAACCATTTCACAATGATGGCTGGTCAGAATGTAAGTGCCTCTTATATGTGGAGAGAAGACTTCAGTTTTGACATACATTTTCAACAGGCGGTGGCCGTGTCCAGCCATTTACAGACCTATTTCGCGGGCTTCGCATAGTATGGCGGCAGAGGTAACACTTCGGCTGGCCATGTTCACAGAGTAGTGAAGAGTGTTGGAATAACAGGACACTATTCTTGTCTTCACGTCAGCTATAATAGATGATACTGTCAAGATCGGTCCAGGGGGTGCATTAGTGGTGTAGTGAATTACTTTTTGTTATAATAAGCTAGTGAATGATATAGACTCTTAAACAATTCACTCTTGACTGTGTAAGTATGATAGCTGTCTAGAGCATATTATAATAACTTATTTAGTAAGCTGCTCCCAGCTCTCCCCATAGTCTCTGAGAACCACTTAATAGTGATCCAGATATCATCTCTGGAGGGGTTAATTCAAGACAGATTATGGACTTCTAGGCTATCATAAAGTAACAAATACATAAGCTCTACCCTACTCTTATTGTCTTAAGCAAGCGCTTACAGTCGCATAACCAAACTGCTAAAATTGAACCCAACCCCCACCAAACTCACAGCAGTTTGAATTCAGTACCTAGCCTACAGAATTACAAGTCTCGGTTTCCCTGGGATGAAATCTAATTCAGTTTGGTTAAAACCATCAGTTATGGTTTTTGCAGTTTCATCAGATTAGGTGAATCCACCCAATCCATTTTACCTAGTAATCACTAGTATCCAGGATTTCTTTAGAGATACTGCCATCACTATTTAGCCTAGGATCTAAATATCAAATATAAATTCAAAATATTTAGTGGTTGCTGATATACAAGCAGATAGTTCATTTTTGTCACGGGTTGGTATGAAAGTAACGCGGATATATATAAAGAATGTGATCAATGGTTGACAACCACTATTAATTCGAAAATAATGTTTCAATCACTACATATTCAACCCCTTAGATATCAAATTGATATTTTAGATATAGATTAGTATGATAACTACCATATTCATATAGAATATTTATTTTCTATAGGCATGGTAGGTAGATAGTATGATAGATAGTATGGTATTCGAAACCTATTGAAAATGGGGTAAAAATTGGCGACTTATCCAACCCACAACCAAACTGTATCTTACCATAGTTAGTTAGTAGGGGCCTTAGGGGTGGATTTTGTGGTGAAACCCCGCACCGAATCGCGCCGGACCAGGGTTCCAATTTCTAAAATTGGACTCAAAATCAACAGTGGTTCAGTGCCAACAGACGATCCGCACGGCTTTGCAGGAGGCATACCATGGGTAAGCTCACTCTCCTGACCACCTAACACCATCTTATATAGCCATTTTTCCTACGTGGTTACTTGTTTCTCTAGGTAAATGTCCATGAAGCTTTTGCGTCACTATCTCATGATACCCTAGCATAATGCCCTAGCCCTTATCGAAGCCTGACGCTAGTACATTTTAAGGGAGTCACGCGATGTTGATTCTAGCCAATTACAGAAGGGGGTGTGTGTGCCTAAGCTAGGGGGGGGTACATATAAACATGTAACAAAACCCAAGAAAAAGGGGCCAGGCAAGAAGATAGGTCGGCTGAGGCAGCAAGCTGACTTTGGTATAATTGCATCTCTGCTTTGGCGTTCGGTCGCAGTGACATACTCTAGTGTCATACACAATGGACAACACGACATGCTACAAAGATGAAATTGCAAAGCTGGTCGCTCAACATGGAGCAGTTCCCCCTCCTTGGTTCAAGTTCCACGACACCCATCCATACAGCATATGCTGGCGTATGGGCGCCGGCGAATCCTACATAACAATATTCTTTACCTGGTGGGAGGAACAAAAACAAAGCCTTGATGAGTCACAACGAATTGAGTATTTCCGGAAATGGCCGCCTCCACCTCGATGGCTTACTTGGATGATAGAGGTCATTTGGGATCTTAACCCTGAGAATTTCGACGATGATGATGATTACTGGCCCTACTTCAGACGGACTGAGGCACTTGGTTTCGGGGGTGAGGATGACTATAAACGTGACAGGGATGAATGGGACGAGATGTGAGAAGGGGCGAGTGGCTAGGAAAGAATGATCGTTGAGAGCGACAGGATATTTCGGCTCACATCCACAATCCTTTGATACTTTTTCTAGAAATCTCAAGAAATAATCGGTCGATCTTTGTACATCAACTTCCGTTTAGGGATGCACCACTGTACGAATGCCCTGAAACGAAGGAAAGGAGGGAAAGGATATACAATCGTGAGTCTTCCCGAGGCGGACTTGGAAGGCTTGACTGATTGGGTTCGAAAGCTCGAGGACCAGGAGGCAGACGCTCATCGGCTATTACCAGGGGTGCAGTTGCTCAATTCTATCGGTCTCTAGGGCTGGCCATTGGAGACGAGACGTATTATACCGAGGAGCATGTGACTTCCCTCCGGAAAACTTCCCTTTCCCAGTTCTCCATCTAAAATGCATACATAGAGATATCTAATATAGATAAACAGGATGAACAAGGTACCTTGTCCGAAGAAAGAGAAATATAGTGAGTGATGCAACAAAGGGCTGAAGCAAAACAACACTAGGATCCTAGCCGCCTAATGAACAAGATCAAACAGGTTGCCGTTGGTAGCATTTGTGTCGTTGCGACCCAGGGATCCCAGCCCAAAGTTCTGGATGGCACCCCGAAGAACACCGTAGTGGGTCATGTAGGAATCGTTCTCGGTGTCGAGAGTAATACCAGCACGGAACACCAGTGTCAAAATCTGGTTATTGTTATTGGGGGCCGTGTCATCGTCGTTCTGCCAGGTGGCCTCGTCGAAGGTGGCAACGACAAGCGTGCCCTGCTTCTCCAGTTCCGGCAGGTAGAGGTCCAGGAAGGCGTTAAACCAGTATCCCGAGGTGGTGGTCTGATGCACGTAGGCCGAATCCGACATGGGGTCGTGGCCGTTGTGCAGCATGTCTGGGACATAGTAAGAGTAGGCGGGCAGCTTGCCGGACATGACGTCGTCGGCGAACTTCTCTGTGGCGTTGTAGATCTTGGCGCAGCGCTCATATTCGGAGGTGTAGGTGCTGAAGAGCAGGGCGGGGACGCCCAGACGACGGTAGACCTGCGAAGACCACTCGGGGTTGGTGCTGTCGATAGGTCCATTAAAGATGTAGTTATTGCAGTCGAGGGACCCGCGCTTGGTAGCGGCTGGGCTGTACCATTCGACGTACATGGCGTAGTTGATGCCCCTGACGTCGAGGAGATCGTAGATGGTGGTTGCATCGATGTTGTAGAAGTCCTCGGCGTCCATGCCGAAGAAATCACCCGCGAGAAGAGCAGCGTAGTTGGGCAAGGAAGGATGGGTGACGCCGTGGGAGTTGGTCAGTAGTTTGCCGCGGCGAGCGAGCAGCTGCCAGTACGGATCGGACATGGTCCAGCTGAACACCTCGTTCTCGAAGATTACGTGATGGATCTTCTTGAACTTCTGGCCCTCGACAGGGCCCTTGGCACGGTCTTCTTTGGGGGTCGAGGAGAGGGGCCGGATCTATGCTGCGGGGGTGCTTCTCTCCGACAGAGAAGAAAGGGTACATGTTGTAGGAGCCGTCTGGGATGTAGTAGCCATCCTGAGCATCGTAACCGGTGAGGTTGGCAATGGCAACGGTCTCGTTGTTGACGGACCAGCGATAGTAGTCACCATAGACTTTAGCGTCAAAGGGAGGTCGGTAGACAAAGGTGTAGTTAGCAAGATAAGGGTCGTTCCTCTGGAACACACCACCCCCGATGAAAGGGACGTCAGCAGCCGGGATAGCATTCTGGCCGGATGCCAGAGTGGCCAACGCCACTAGGGCCGCAGAGGTAGCAAACATTTTAAATAATAACAATCAAGCAACACCAAGACAGTGTGTGCTGGAAAAGGATATCTGCTTGAGCTCCCAGATCAGACACAGGTCCATATGGAAAACCAGTGCCTTTAATCGCCCTCATATCAGACGGCTGCACTCCATTTTGCAATCAGACTAAATACAGCCAGGGACTCAGCTTACTAAAGATGGGTTATGTAAAGTTTTTGGACTTAACCAGCGACTAGTCATTGGCGTGCTTGAGGCACTAGCTTAGGAAGTAACTGTTTCACTCTTTGTGCAATCATTGTTGTACTCAGCAACCCAACCCCACCCCCCAAAAAAACAAGGTAAGCCCCAAGAGTCGGTGTATATACATACATATATCTATATATATGTGAAGAAGTGTTTTCAATGTTTGGAACGGATGCCTATGCAGAGACTGTGAGATTACTTCCCAGCTGACTATGTAATTCATACAAGTGCAGGTAGTATAACAACTGAAAACCGCTGTGAAAATGGTGTTAATGAGATATAACAGAAGGCTATTCACCTCCAACTTCGCCTTCACTATCATTCTCACTGTCGTCATCCAGAAAAATTATTTAAACAGCATTATCCCATTGCAACATGTCGTCAGGGGTCTCCACTGCATCAGCACTTTCGCCCTAGGTACGCTTCAACCCATTCCAACTCGCGGCCGGTCGCCACTAAGTCATCTGACGCCATCTCTCACAAAGTATTCCGCTCCAACTATGCAGTTGCCACGCTCTTCAACCAGAGAAACCTAAAGACTAGCTTTTTGCCTTGCAGTGCGAATATCTGCTCGCTAGATGCTAAATAGCTCTGTCCAGTGAGCGAGTTAGCTAGGTAGACGCCCCTGATTTTGACAGCATCCAGCAGGCATTCAATCTGAACGAAGATATCTTCAAGTAGTCGAGTACCGAATATGAAGCAAGGAATTATCCCTAATCCTGGATGCCTAATTGGATGAGTATTCTGAAACCATAGCCACATCTCTCTATAATATATAAGCTGACCTTTACTTTTCATATCACCATGGCTTCTCTTGTATGTGCTGAATATGGATTGGGTTTGCCACTCTTGGGTGCAGCCAATGCTTGACTTAATGGAAACTCCTCTCATGGATGGGACATATTGTTATTGCAACTTCCTGGCAGACTTTTGTTGGCGTACGATCTCGCATAACAGATGCGAGGCGTGTACTTTGTATTAACTGCTCTTCTGAGCCACATAGATTCAGCTTCATCAAATCCAAGTATGAAGTTAACAGTATTTATTTTGCACAGACTCGGCTCTTACTAGGCGAGGATATGTGGTTAGCCCACCGTCACAATGGACAACTCTATTGAACTTCCGTGTACCATAGGCCAAGAAGCAGCTTGCCTGGGCTGATCCGTGGTTCGACATGAGCGGCTAAATTCTGTACTCGTTAAAGGCTGCCGATCACTAATCATCCGAATCAGGATGAACCTCGGCAACTTAACTCATTGTATCATAGCCAGCTGGAACCTCAGCAAATCGCTGCAGCGAAAAAGAGCGGGCAGTGTCCTCTACGTTGAGTCTGGAATATATCAACGAGCTTGGCAGCGCCAGGCGCATACAGGCGAAAGATCACCTCATCCGCCCATGTCGATCGGACGGATCACATAAACATGAAAAGCTCTCGTCGAGGGTACCGGTTGACCAATTGACCAATATCGTCTGGACGTTCCGGAGCCGACAAAATGAGCGTTCCAAAAGCTTGCTGTGAGGCTTTAGAGCAGTGTTCGGACAGTGGGCTCAAACACTCTCGTCTCGGGGAGTATTATACCCACTTCGCCGTTGCACTAATGGGTTCGATACATTCTACATATCTATCAATTTTATCTAGTAGAATAAAACCCTGGGCCCCCTAGAGATGTTGGAAAGTCCAAGCAAATTCTAACTTGCAACTTGCAACTTGCACCATCTACACCACCTGGTCAAAATGGAGGCTCCAAGCTCAGAGAAGCCTCTTCATGACCCCGACCTCACTCAGATACAATGGGACGACCCCCGAGAAAAACGGAATCCGCAGAACTGGCCACTATGGAAGAAGCTCTTCCATACAGTCGTGCCATGCATTCTCGCGTTTGTGATGTAAGTGTGGTCCAATCAGAATAAGAAATAGAGCAGAACAAGGACTAAGGCTATGGGTTTATGCAGTACCTTTGGAACATCCGTCAACGAAGCAGCGTTAGGAATACTTGCGAGGAAGTTCGAGGTATCCCGAACAGTATCCATGCTCACTCTCACCCTATACACGCTCGGTTTGGCATTCGGGCCGCTATGTATCGCACCATTGTCAGAGATTGTCGGCCGCCGCTGGGTCTATATCATCACCTCATCGCTTCTGTTAGCTTTCAGTGCGGGCGCCGGGGCTGCAAATAATTTCGCAACTCTCCTCGTATGCCGCGGGTTGGCTGGATTCTTTGGGTCCGCTGGAGTAGCGGTTGGTGCAGGAACCCTAGCTGACATCTGGTGTCTGGAGGAGGAAGGCGGTCTTGCATCCTTATTCTTTATTTTGGGTCCATTCTTAGGGCCCACAATGGGTCCTCTTGCAGGCGCCTACGTTCTCCAGGACCATAATAACAACTGGAGATGGACACAGTGGGTGATGGCGATCCTCTGCGCGCCAGTGTGGATAGGCACAGTCCTGATGAGAGAAACCCTGAAGGAGAAAATTTTGGCCAAGTCAAATCTTCCAGACAAAGCTATATTGCAGAACAGTAAGCCTACACTGGGTCAGATCCTCACTGTTGGGCTTGGAAGGCCTGTGAAGATGTTGTGCACTGAGATCATTGTTTTCTCGTTGACTCTGTACACTGCGTTTGCCTACGCGATGATCTTCAGCTATTTCGCCAGCTCATCATATGTCTTGAGCATATACTATGGGTTCAACTGGCAGCAAATCGGATTGAGCTTTATCAGCGTCATCGTCGGATACATTCTCGCGGCTTTCATGTTTGGAGTGTTCGATAAGACTCTTTATGCCAAGGCACGAGAAGCGGGTGGTGGTACTGCCGCTCCAGAGCATCGTCTCTATTCAGCGATCGTAGGCGGCATTTTATTGTCTATTGGGTTATTTTGGTAAGATGCAAACGAGACCCTCCTTTTTTACTCCCACTTAGTCCCTATTCAGGTATTCCTGGGAGGCCCACGATGGTGGTCACTGGGCTGCGCTTGTCTGTTCGGGAATTCCCTTTGGAATAGGAGCTTTCTCCCTTTTCGTGAGTTGCCCAGTGGATGAAGGTTTGGTGTGAGTAACTGACTGATCTCCTCAGCTGTCTACTATCACCTATCTCGTTGATGTCTACAAAGCCCGAGCCGCAGCCTCAGGTGAGAAATCATGTCTGGATGCTGCGCTGTTCCCTGTGTATCTGCCGTACTGACCAAAATACTAGCTCTGGCTGCAAATGGAGTTATCAGATATATCTTAGGAGCAACATTCCCACTATCTACAGTACAAATGTACCAGAAACTCGGAGTCCATTGGGCAGGCAGCGTGTTTTCCTTTCTGTCCCTTCTTCTCTTACCAATTCCTTGGGTTCTATTCAAATATGGACCCTTCCTGCGAGGCAAAAAACGTCAGTGATAGTATAAAGCGTGGGAAATGGGTGAGACACCGAGACACCCTCTGACCAACTGATTTTTAGACCTAACACAATTAACTCAGCAGGTTGTTGTGCAGGAGTTGGCCCTAGAATCTGTTTCAAAGACGTGAAAACGCTTACTTTCTTCTTCGCATCTTCGCATCTTCGTCAACATTTTGTCTTATTTTAGATGAAATTCCCGTATTCCGAGCGGGCCAACAGCCCTGGCCTTTTACATCAGGTATACATATTGACTGCTTTGGCTAAATGATATCGACGTGTTTCAGCAAAGGAACGTCCCTCTGCCCTCTCCTAGCACTGGTGGCCGATCCTCTGCCGCTACAGTATTGTCTTTCCGTACTTGGTGGCATTTTTGTTAAAGGCAGTTCCTGGTCGGTTATGGGACCAACAAAGGGTTCTATATCGATTCATGAGACGGCACCTAAAGGTACACAATAGTGTCAGATTTCCTTCAAGAACCCAACTTCGATAAGTTTGGCCAGTGGCACCCGCAAATTCGCCGTCTTATTCCGGGTATTCTCTCTGATCTACAAAAAGGCATGCAGCTGCGCCTTTACAAAAATGTTGGTACCACTCTTGATCGTCATTTGTTCCTTCCCGATGATGTACAGCACCTTATGCTCAAATGCGACTTGTATCCTTTCCAGAGCAATGTATAACTCCCATAATGTGGAGTAAGCTCTCAGAAGCTTAGTAGCCTGCTGGGGTTGTGGCTATCGGGGCGAAAACTGCGACAACCAGCGAATGGTATCAGAAGAACAATGGTAGACCGGATGCTATTCGTACCGCGTGGGCCTTTCCCAATACAGCTCGATGTTCCCGCTCTGCAGCGCCATTCTGCCATGTATAATAATGGTCCGATGGCTCCCAGTTCTATGCTGTCTGCTGCCAACTTTGAATACCTCCGCCAAATGACTCCTCGCTGGAGCCCACCGGAGATCCGCGCTTGATACGAAACGTCGAAGGAGAAATTGTACGTTGACGGGATATGATCTTATCATGGCCTGTCACTAACCCCTTAGAATCTTTCACTATGCATTTAAAGCCGAGATACCACGGACACGGTTCATGAGTCTATCTCGTTTCCCGTGCCAAGAATGTCGACCACGGAGGACGGGATCCTTGAAACAGCCCGCTCCGCGATTATGACATCTGGAAAATGGCAGTATTTAAGCGCTAGCAAACACGACCAACAGTATTAACTATCAACAAACAAACAAACTTCACTTGACACTCATCCTTCAATAGTCCTACCAAGATGGCTCCTATCCACGTTGGCTGCCCGCTCTTCGATTACCAGACGATCGACATCATTGGACCATGCGATCTGCTCAATTCCGCGAGTAAGATGCTCCTGGAGGGTATCAATTACTATGCCCCCGTGGATCCGAAACTTCTGGCAAAGGCGCCCGAATTCGTCTTCCACCATATCGGAGAGACCATGGAGCCGGTACACCTGCTTACAAGCTCTGTAACAGTGGTGCCTACGGTCGCGGTGGACGACGTTCCCGAATTGGATCTCCTCATCGTCGGTGGGGATATCCCTGCGGAAACAAAGCTTCCTCCGAAGTTGCAGGACCTCATTCGCCGCCATGTTGCCTCTGGAAAGTTACTGTTCACGACCTGCACCGGAGCCGCGGTTGTTGCAGCCACCGGCGCTCTAGACGGCAGGAGGGCCACAGTCAATAACCTCGAATACAATTGGATTAAGAAGAGATATCCGAATGTCAAGTGGACAAAGGAGAAGAAGTGGATTGTTGACCGCAACGTTTGGACTGGGAGTGGAGCTGTGGCGGGGATGGATATGGTCGCCCACTGGATCAAAGAGACTTATGGGCTGGACCTTCTTGTGCAGGCGGCATTGTCGCTTGATTATGAACCGCGGGATGTTGACGGACTTTACAATGTTCTGCCCCAGCGATACGATTCGACTGGGAACAAGATTTCCACCCATGTCTTTCCCGACGAGATCTGAGGTATCCTTATGCTGAAGCTGCAGTTTCGCAGATTTGAGGTCTGGAGCATGTATCACTTGTCAAAACTCTAAAGATAATTGCTAGAAAGTGTATCCATCCAAAAAAGATCACCCCAAAGCTTCTCATCTTCTATCCTCTGTACTTCCGTAGTAATAGCGCTTTGTAGTGCGGGTAGATCCTGAGCCTGGGCGACCTGACGGCTCGAATACCGCACTGCAGGGCAGCGGTGCAGCCCTTGAACAGACGAGGCTGTGTTATTCAAAGCCTTAAGCTCGTGATGAGCATGGCGGCTATCACGAATCTGTGCGGGATTCTCTTTTGCCAATGCATAGGAAGTTCTTACGCTGCCCACGATCTCGGGCAGCCTCGAAAAGAGGCTCTTGGTGGGTATTTGCCTATTCGGCAATGGCCTAATAGCCTGTAAATGAGACAACAGTCTATCAATGTATTCTTGTAGATCCACAGTTTGCTGTGCAAGGTCCACGTTCCACTGGGGTACTTCTGGCAGTCCCACGGACAACCTGTACAGCACAAAGACAGTCAAAACAACTTGACACCACGCAGAAAATGGCAAGTTATTTTGCTCCGCAGCGGGAAGGGCGAAAAACCAATCGAGATATTCTTTCGTAGAGCTGACGCATTTGATCAAGTTGCTGATGACCATTGGATGTGCAGATAAGATGGTAGAACCTTCCTGCGCCTTTGGAGATGGAGGTCTTCTCTGCCCGTAGCAATACACCAAGCCCATTTCTTGTATCCGAATCTTGACGGCATAATAGCCGTTGATCAGCAACACTAGAAATTTCAAGTCAGCTGAATTGGAATCCCCCAGAGCTTGAGAAGTTCCTACCCGTAGTGCGGAGATCCGTCGATAGAGACGACCACCATTCTTCTAACCACGTCGTGAATCTTTCAGCATGGATGTACAACCGAGGGCTATGAATGCCTTCTGACCGGTGAGTCTCACAGACTTCCTCAGTGAACTGTAGCACCTTCGTCATTGGGTATATCATAAGATCTGTTTCAAATTCTGCCTGTTGCTGCAGCATCATCGCGCATCGAAGCATGTCCTGGTGAAATTGGAGATTGTTGGGCTTCCCCGAAGACGTTGCTATTCTATTGAAGTTAGCTCAAGTCCATTAGCGCTTATCCAGGTGGGGCATCGTACATGTTAGATATGTAATAGCAGCCTAGATAAGCACGGCATGCTTCCCGGATATAAGCATCACCCAGCTCGGCTCGCTGGTTAACTAGGTCGGCAGCTTCTTGATCGAGGCCAAGGTCAATGACCATGCTGATTGCGATTTGTGAGTACTGGTATGCTTGCTGGCTTCCTGGAACAAAGTGGAAATGGAACCTGAAATTGGTCAGCTTGCTAGTGCCCCTGATGTCGACAAAATAGAAGGTAATGTGGGAACTGAAATCTTACCAGGCAAGATGGACAAGTAATCCCTGGAGCAGGTCTAGATCCTTCTCGCCAGCTATGATAACCCGCTGGCTGAGGGATTCTTTAAACTGTCTGATCAGAGCGTCTTGAAGATGACAGTATTTTGAGGAAGCAGCAGCAACAGCTGCAAGCAATAGGCAGGGGCGATCTTCAGCCATTGATGCAGCAGTACAGGCGTATGGAAGCCGCACGAATGGAAAGTAGCACGCCATGCCGCGGAACTTGTCTAGAAGATGCTCGACGACGACAGGACTGAGTCCCAAGTCGGTGACCCACGCGGCGTCCATGGCAGTGGATGAGCCCCACGGATTTTCTAGGGTATTTTCAGTGGTACCCTGGTTGTCGCTTGGCTCCAGGCCTTCGCCCACTTCCGAATTAGGCTGGTTCTCGTGGCTCATCCATTCAGCTGTTCGGTGTGGCCTGTCGCTAGAATATTCGGGAATTGCAGGGGGTCCAAAATCGGTATCAACCGGGGGTTGGACTTCATAAAGGGGAGCGCTCGAGCCCGAAAGAAGACCGATGATATCGGTGAGCTTGGTCTCAAGATCGACCAGGCGCCTTCGTCCCCTCCCTATCAGCAAAACTTACCTATCAACTGAAGAGCCCTCTAGGGTAACTTACGGCTTTGCTCGCTGTGAAACACGAGCTCGCTGTCTCGGCTCTGGAACTACGCATTGAGAGTTTGATCTGGCACATCTACTCAAATTAGCCTGAGATGAAGTATACGATCAGGGATGTGACGCGCACTTAGTACAAGGCTGGCCCCCTCCGAGTCGAACACATTTGACCTTGAGGACACGGCATTTTTCGCACGCAGGTGTCGCTTTCTTTCGCTGACGAGATGAGTCCATCAGGATTGCGTTATCCATCGTCAGTCCCTCCTATCTATCATGGATCTCAATATTGTAGGCTAGAAAAATGAGGGGCTTCTATGTGTTAAGACAGTTTATGACACCACTAGATCAGGCATTTCGGCTGACAAATCCAATCCCTGCCCCTCATCTAAGTGGTAAGACATTAGGCGCATCCAGCTCGCTGGAACCCGCGACATGAGAGGGAGCATTGATGTAAAAAGCGGGTCCCGCCGCCTCCGAGTCATCTGGCCGCGTGGGATTTCACAATACCTACAATATGTAATATACTTAACAGTAGTTAACCTCGGAAATAACGGTGTTAGCCTGAATTAATGCTATAGTGTCTTGGAGTGGCTGTGGGGGGAGGCTTCGACAACTAGAAAAAAACAAACAGCCTGCATTGCATTCCCGTAAGGCCCGCCCTCGGCGTTGATATCATGTTGGGCGACGCAAAGGGAGATTGCTCTGACGACGCCCTACGTCTTGTGCTCCAATAGTGTT